GTGCTGCATGGCCGCGAAGAGCTCCTCCTCCCTGTCATGCAAAAACGCAGCTTGTGATGCGGAGTACGCAACTCAGAACCATGAAAAAAACTTGTCATGCTTGACAGCGCATTATAGTGAGTTCACTATTCCCTTTCTTGCATCACAAGACTCCAGACCCAGACATTTTTGCAATCCATAGAACGGGTGGGACGCGCAATCGAGGAACGGGTATTTTGTGCGGACGATTTTGCTCGGGTTGCTGGGCGGATGGTTTGACCAGGAGGAGGGGCTGAGGAAAGTGTTGAAAACGGGTTTTGACGGGGAGAAACTGCAGGTTTGCGGTCCCCCAGCAGCTTCTTCAACGTCTTCGAGCAAAATCACGGCGACTACGGCAACCACCCCGGAAGATTCGGAGAAAGGAGCAGCGTCGAACTTTGTTGAAATTTTGTCGTGCAAGAACACCAACTGCATCAGCTACCCGGAAAACGGGCAGAGGGAGGTGCTGCCGTGGATTGTAGACGGGATTTGTCAGTATTGCGACCACGTAGCGGTGGGGTCGGAGGAAATGAAATTTGTGAGTCGGGCGCAATAGACCTAGAGGACGAAGAACTAGGATGGGGAAGTAACTGCTCTTGATGTCTGGAGGTCTTTCTTCAAGAAGTACTGTACAAGTAAATACAAAGTACTTTAACTACGTTTTTGTAATTTTTCTTTTTTGTAGTTTGTCGCTTCGCCGGCGAAGGTGCGCTCTTGTTTTGATCCGGTAAAGCAGTTATGTAGACCGAATCAGCGCCACCGCCAGTCGACAGCCCTATTTGCCACATAGCAATTGATGCGAATGCGTCGGCGTGGTGCGTCACCTACTTACAATACGAGAACGGTACGGACACATTTGAAATTTAACGACTTTTCGGCTCTCCTCAATGCGGTTGAAGAACGTGAACGCGCTATCGAATTGCAAATTATTCCACTGCACCTCCGGCGGCAGTTCGACTGCGTATTTGAGGCCGATGGATGAGTTACTTTTTTGTTTTTTCGCCAGGGAGTTTTTTTTGTTTTTACTCTCGTCGCCGGCGCAGGAGTCGCTGAAATTTATACTTCTACCAATCCACAGGACAGTCCAAGATGCAGAAAGTTTGACTGAGAATAAAAACACAAACAAGAATTGAGTTGTTGAAAAAGAAGAACCGCGACTTGTCTGTGCACCAGTGTTGACGACATGGGTATTCATTAGAGCTAGTAGAAGCGCACTGGTAATAAAACCGCAGCGCCGAGACTCGTCGTCCGATCGACAGGCACGCGCACAACGTCGCGCCGTCCTTCTCGTTGTGTTCCTTTTTTTTCGAGGACACCAAAGAGACGCAGGCGGGCTTCCAGTGAGATGTGAAGCAGAAAACCTGTAGGCGATGCCAAGACAGCGCCGGCGCGTGGTCTTCCAGCCGCCGCAGGCTTGTGGCGAGGCCTGGCGCAGTGGCTCCGGTGGGGCGGGCAGCCGGAGGAGGGCCGCCGACCGAACGAAGCGCAGGCGGAGGCGGCCGGCTTTGTGACTCGGGAGGGCGGAGGCCTTCCCCAAGGGCTGGCGGGCGGGGGCGGGGGGTTTCGTGAGGTTCCGAGCTCGCGCGGGGCTCGGGCTTCGCCGGTTTCTTGGCCGCCGGGCCGCCCTTGTTTGGATCGCTGCGCCGCCGAAGCGATTGCGCACGTGCTCCGCCCTGCCCCCGCCGCGCCTTCGCGCGCGCCGCGGGGGCCATCGGTAGGGCGGCGCGCCGCGGGCACTGGCGCCGGGCCTAGCGGGGCGGCCGCCCTCTTTGGCGCGGGGAGGCAGGTCGGCCGGAAGTGGCGGCCACGTACGCGAGCCAAAGCCCTGGCGAAGCCTTCAAAAAACCCGGCACGCACCGGCCCGGCGCAATCAAATTGATTCGCGCGATCAGTTCGAGGAGACGCGGCCCGCGCCCTGCCGGCTACCGCCCCCCCTGCTAGCCCCGGCGGCATGGTGTGAAGCCCGCGCGCCCGCCCCGGCTTCCTAGGGCCGGGGGCGGGCCTTCGGGCGGCCCGCCGGCCCGGCCGCCCCGAGAGGGGGCGGGGCGGTTGTTTTCGCTTCGGTTCCGCCCCCCGCGTCCGCGCCCGCTGGTCTGCGGCTGCCTGTGGGCCGCCAGCCTCAGCCTTGGCTAGCTTCGGCGGCTGTGTTGGTGCAGTTTTGCTCCCCGTCCCGCCAGCGCAGCCGGGCCGTGTTTGTGACAGACTGACTCCCGCCCTGCCCATCTGCCATTAGTGGTGTGGCGTGTGGTGTCTTATTGTTCTTGGCTGTGCCAGCGTGCATGCGGCCTCGCGCGCCAGGCCGTTTGTTGTGGCTGGTGGCGCAGCGTACTTGTAGGTCTCCGAAGGCGGGTTGGGGGCATGATCTGGTCCGACGACTGCTCGCCAGCTGCCATAGATGGAAAGCAAGCAGTCTGCTTGCTGTGTCGTGTAACTGGAAAAAGTGACTTGCTCGCGCAGTTCTTTCCGAAACAAGTTGCGGCAGTTTGCCATAGTTGTGATGTTCCTCCCTGTATTTCGACCGTGCTTAATATGATCACTTAATATGAAGATTTGCTTTGTCACTACCCCTAGCCCCACGGCCGAAATTGTGCCTGAAGACAGTTTGAAATGTACCTGCGATCAACAACATTAACGCTTTATGTTCGAGCCCCCAACACTAAATCACAACAAACAGCAGCTCCTCGGCTATGTATACCTCCCACATCCGATTTTAACTGAAATAGCTTTGGCTTGTTGATGTTTGATCTACTTCTCGATGGACCGGATCGATACAATGAATTTCACGATGGCGGTTCACCAACATATCCACTAGCTAATCCAAGTATATGGAACTGAACAACTTCGAGAGGACAGTACACACGAACATGGATTCGACGATGGGTTGAACATCAACAACAAGAGCTCTTCTTGGCGTTAATATCTAGAAGTTCTTCTGAGTATACCACTTTCATTTTCCCAAGAATTCCCAACAAGACCACAAAGCAAAAGACTCCCAATCACCAAAGACCATGTCCGCCCTCTCTCCCCGCGAGTCCACCCTGGCGGACTTCCTCCGGTCGCCGGACACAGTCGAAAACGCGATGGAATTGGTCCAAAACACCCACATTCTCAACTACCTCACCGACACCACGCCGCAACAGAACCAAAACAACAATAAAGACCACCTGTCCGACGTCCAGCGACTACAAGTTCTCAAACGGCTGCTCCAGTACAGCCAGCTTTGGGACAAATTCGCAACCTTCGTCACGAAATTGTGGAAACCACTATCAACGTCCGGGCGAAACAGAGCCACCGCGGAGAAATTTGAGGAGCAGGCAAACCTGATTCAACCGGTTTTGGAATTACTGCTGTCGTTAGATGGGGACACCGCTGTCGAAGCGAGGAGCAACCTCATCACTGCCGATTTGTTGAAATTCGACAACTTCGCCTGGATGTTGAAGCAGGATTTGAAGACGGCGAATTTATTGACGAAATTGCTCTGCGAAACTGGGGTGAAAGAACGAGTGGAGCTAGTCAATACTGAAGAACACAACTCGCAGGACTTCTCCCTCCTCGTGTCCGCGCAAACGGAGGATGACGAGAAGAAATTCCGGTATCTACAACTCGTCGCGGACTTGATTTCCGCGGACGTAGAAGTGCCGAAGTCCGCATTTCAACTTCTAGTCCAAGCGTATTTCACAGAGGATATCTTGTTGAAGCTGAATGCGGTGCAGCTATTTGAGCAGTTGGGGACGAGCAGATACGGACGCAAATTATTACTAACGGAAAACCTGCCGAATTTGATCAAACAAGAACTGACCGAGGGAGATAATATGCAACTCTCCTTAGACCCGAAGATCGCGCCAATGTGCGTGCTCTTCTGCTGCTTCATTTTACAACAAGAGCCGGAGAACTATTTCAACGATTTGTACGAGCAGTTGATTCTAAAGTACGTGGAAGAATTCCTCGCCGCCCCGAACACGAACGAAATCGCGAAGCTCTGCTTGTTATGCATTGCAAAAGTATCGTACTAGTATAAATCGCAATACAAGTTTTTCCAGAAGGAAAAATGGAATTTGTAATGCTGATTTCGCTAAGAAACAAGATTTGTCATGCATGATTGCAATTAGTACGAGTACGATACTTTTGCACAGGATACTTGTTAAAAATGTTCGGCGCGGTGTTTCAGGTGCACTTCCCCAACAGCCAATATGGAAGCGTCAGGTTTGAAATCGACAGAGTTGAAATGATTTGCCATGCATAAAATGCAAAGCATGAAGCGCCTGTCTTGCCGGGAAGGCAAGTGATGCCGATTGTGAGCCTGTTTAGGGTTTGGAATAGCGCTACTAGAGTAGCACGACAAAAGCGGTCTTCTGTGCCCAAACAGCACGACAAATTGGACTCCGGTGCTCTGAAAATTTGTCATGCGCCGCTTCATAAGTGGGCTTCCGACTGGTATCGGTTTTATGCATCACAAACTATTTCAACTTTGATGATTTCGATCCTGACGCTTCCATAGCCAGAAGAACGCGGTAGTGGAGTCAAACTGGGTGGAGTTCGCGAAGGGGGCGATAGCGAAATCCACGAATCCGGAAATCTGCAAAGCAGGGTTGGTCGCCTGGATCATTGCGACGACCAGTACGGAGAAAAACCAAGAGTCCAAAGCGAATCTGAAAATCGCCCCCCACGTGATCCGGCCGGCGTTGGAGTTATTGACGAAACAGAGTTTGAATGCGGAATTAAGGCCGTTTTTGTACCAGTTACTCGCGAACCTCGCCTGTGACTTCAGCTGCGCGAGGATGCTGATTGAGTCGGACGAAATAAGGCAGATTCTGCTGGATTTCGGCTCGGAAACGACGCACGACGGGCGGGTGGAGAAGCATTTGTTTGTGAAGAATTTGTTGGAAAAGACGGAAGTGTGCCGGCAATTGCTGGATGAACAGGGATTGGAAATGTTGGAGCTGTATGTGCGGAAAGGGCCGTACGGGGCGGTGGGAAGTATGATGGAAGCGCGAGTGCAGGTGGGACAGGAGACGGCGTGAGATGGGACGACGAGGAGGAGACGAGAGGATGGCTTTTTTGAAGATGATGCGACGGTGATCGTGATGTCAGTTGATGACTTAGCTTTGTTTCATATCTTCACAGGTGGTCCGTAATTGTGACGATATCGATATCCACTTCGCACTATTTTTACTGACGACACTGACAGAGCTGAACAAAAGTACTTACTAAGATGTCCAAGCTCGTACCCGGGAAGGGCTTTCCCGCGATCACGCCCTCCTCTAGTGTGTTCGGCTGAGTCCAGCAGTGCAGGAGTATTTGTTACAAGCCGCTTCAGCAGGAGGCGTCGTTGACATCTACAGGGGACTACGCACCCACTGGCCCAGCACCCGCGGCCACAGCGCCACCGGCTAACTGTAATTGGGCGGCCCGCGCCTGCCCGCCGCGCGATTATGCGCGCCCGCGCCGTAGTGAGGGACGCGGGCGCAAAGTCGCGCGCGCGGCCGAGATCGCGGCCGCTGTGGATCGCGCGAAGCAACGCAGCAAGTCCCGCGGAGGCTTTGCAAATCGACGCGCGGGAGTTTTCCCCGGAACGGATTCGAATGCGTCCTGAACTGCCTACGATTTGAAAAGGAGACCCCGGCGGCGACCCGCGCGCGAAGGCGGGCCGGTGAGGTTGTTGCTAGGTAGCAAGCCCAACGCCGCGCCGGGAGGGAGCGGGCGCAGCAAGGTGGAAAGGCTTCGAGCCGGCCCCCGGAATTGGATGGCTCCCCGCCGTTGCCTAGGGCGGCCGTTTTCTTCGGGGCGCCCGCGCGCCTGGTTGTCCGTGGTGGCCCGGCGGCCCGCCATCGGGGTGGCGGTGAAACTTTGGCGAGCGTCCCGGCGCCCTGTCCCTGCCCGGGCTTCAGGCGCAGGCTTTCGCCGTGCTCGGTGTGTGATTTACAGAACCTGGCCACGGTGCGCGAAACCCGCGCAAGCCGGAAGGCAAGGCGGCGGGCCGCGGCGCGGGTGCCGGCAAATTAAAAGCAAGCAAACGAGTGCCGGGCGGCCCCTTCCCAAACATGCACGCGCGCCCGCGCGGGCGCCCTCCAGCTTTGTTTTTTCTCAGGGCCTACCTGGAGACAGCGGCGCGCGAGTAGCGAGAAGCCCTGGGGCCATGCTGCGAGCGTGGGCCCCCCCCATCCACGTGCGTCGCCGTTGCTTGGCCGTAGGGGTAGGCGGGTGTGTGGCGCGCGCCCGCCTTTCATCCTTGCGCCGCGCGGGCGGCGGCCGGGCGGGTTCGCTTCCTTACGGACTTGGCGCCTGCGCCGCGGCGTCGTTTGCCTTGGCCGCCGGCCCTGGTTGTGTGTTCGCCTTGGTGGCGCCCCGCCTCGTTGCAACCCTTGCCGCGCCGCGGGCGTGCGAGCGGGCGCATTCAGTTGCTCGCCCTGCATGCGGCCGCGTATCGAAGATAGAAGGGGGCCCGACGACGTCTGCTCTTCGTCTATCTTCATCAAGTGTAGTTGGCGCATGCTGTCGTGTCTGATAAAGTCTATTTTATTTTTGTATCCATTTGTCAGAGTTCGGGATCGGGGCCGTCAGCTATTGATTAGATAGCCGAGGACACGAGCAGGAGCAGCCTTGCTATCAACAGCGAAAGGAGCTCAGACGAAGAAGTCATGAAGAGAGATAGGCTTTCATTCATGTTGATGATGATCTGTTTTGTCTGCTTACTTCGTGCGAGGAAACCTTCATATTGCGACCGCGAGCGAGCGTCTGGTAGTCTCAGCGAGAAGTAAACTTTTTGTCAGTCTTTTTGCCTCATCCCGCCTCACCCAGCACAAATATTTCTGTTCCTCCAGGACCTCATTTATTCTGCATCACGTATCGGTGTCCGTTTCCGCATTTGCACTCCGTGACCTTTTACCTATGTGTGACGTTTTTTGCCCAACAAGAGAGTCTAAGTAAGTCTTCTAAGCTGTAGATGTGGCCCTGGCCACCATTAGCAGCTGCGTTCTTGGACCTTCCGTAAAACTACCCCCGTAGTTAGATCATCATAGAGACTCTAAGTTACAGCAGGAGCAGCTGCACGACCAGAAAGTACGTAGCTCATAACAACCCGCGCCACATCAACACCTACTTCTTCGTCAAAATGTCCTTCCTCCAGACGCTGGAGGACATGAAGAAGTCCGGGGTTCCGGCCAGCTGGCGCCCCCTGATCCAGAAGGACTACGTCTACGCCGTTTCCTGTTGGTTCTACGCGCTGATCTACCTCTTCTGGAACGATCCCGAGCTCATCGCCCGCAAACTCCCCATCATGAACCACCTCGGCCTCTGCCAACTCGCCCCGTACTACTGGTTCCTCCAGGCCTGGGTCTCCTTCTGGTCGGACTATTTGGAGCTCGCAAGGCCGAGCTGGATATCCTGTGCAAAAGTATCGTACTCGTACAAGTGCAAGCTTAGCATTACAAATCTTGTTTCCACCGCAAATCTGCATTACAAATTTTATTTCTCATGCTGAGGAAATTTGCAATGCATTTATACGAGTGCGATACTTTTTGCACAGGATACTGGAGCCACTTCGTCGACACGGTGTTTGCGGTGCTGGGGAGCTACTTGTACCTCTACGTGGCGTTGTTCGAGCGAGTTCTGGACCTGTTCAGCGGGTTTTGCGGGATCATGGGAGTGGTGCACGCGTATTTCGCGTTTGCGATGTCGAGGTATTACCGAAGAGTGGAACCAAATCCGAAAAAATACGCGCAGTGGCACATCCAGTGGCATATATCGTTTCCGCTGTGGACGTCGGTACTGCTTGTTACTACTTCGGAGGTCGTGTGTTTCTACTTGTATGTAATTGCAGAAATATACTAAATTGCCACTGTGTTTCCCCTGTTCTGTCATGCGTGATCTACTCGCTCACCAAACAAAAATAAAACACACCAGCTCCTTGGTTGGAACCAGCAGCGGCTCCCGGACCCAGAAATTCCGTGGTACCCGCATCCGCTCTACTCGTACTGGATTCCAATGCTGACGTGTTTGTTCCTGGTGTGGAAAACGAGGTCAACGGCGGTGGGAGAAAAGATTGAAAACACGATCGAGATTGGAAAAGGAAAAAGTAATACGAACAAAAACAATACCTTATGCTCGGCTGCAGATAACGACATCACGCCAAGAACATGCTCCGTCAAAAGCAGCGACAGCACCACCTGCTCCACCTGCACTGAGGTGGATGACGAAGAGGGGAAGAAGAAATAAGAGAAACACCTCCAGTACCTCCTGCAATCCACACGTACGGTTTCTCCAACGACATTTGAAGAAGACGAGCAAGAAAGACACAGCTGAATCATAATTGTGACTCTGAAAACGACCACCCGGGCTGCAACAAAATGCGAGTACAGAGCAACTTTCAGAGTTTCCGACCATCTTCACATCGTAGCAAATTGCTATGCAGAAATTCAAATTTTCCTCCTGATCTCCCAGTGAGAGCCGAACATGAAAAAACAACTCGTGCTGGAGGTCACCAGCCTAGTCATATACACTCACTGCAAAAGACCAAAGCTGCGCACAGTCTCAGCCTACTTCATCTTCGCGTGGAACTTCATTGTTGCATTCAGTTATTTTAGTCAGACGCATTTTTTTTTTTGGCATTAGCATCAACGCGCATGGTAGATGCCACTCCGTAGTAAAGAGAAAAACAGCACCAGAGCGCAAATCAAGTTGCACAAATTTTTCAATAAAGGACATCAAGATGAAAAAACGGCTTAAGAAGATGTTGGAGCAAGGTACTGGGGCGCGGCTTAATTAGTGCTTTTCACTAGTGTGAGGAGCGGGGGCGTTGGGTCTCCGGGAGTGATCATCTCGACCTTTCGGAGGCCCAAATAATCTCTGCTCTGGGTGTGCCCTTAACCCTAGTTTATGCCCCCCCCTTGAATGCATTTTTTTGAGGCCCAAAAATCGCGAAAGCATTTGCACACTTTGCACAAATTTTTCAATAAAGGACATCAAGATGAAAAAAGGACTTCGAAAATTGCGAGGTCTTCCTGTTTGACTAGCCACATAAATGGAAATGTGTCGGAAGACAATCAACAACGCAAGAAACGCGGGCGATTTGAACACTGGTCATCTTTGAGTGAAGTGTAAATAGGCCCTGTTTGAAGGCGTTTCTAGTTGCAATCAATCTGAATGGTACTAACGCACAGCCTGCGGGTAAACATTCAAGCTTTGGGGTACTTCAAAATCAGTCTCGAATCGCCATAGTATACGCTAAAATCAGATCAACAATCGTTGATCGTCACCATCAAATTTACATCGTGATTTCGGTTAGACCTCATTTTGAATCATCATCAGTTCATCTTGATTTACATCGTGATTTCAATTTTGCACTCAGAGCGGGACGGTGTGTCAAGATCGATTTAGGTCGTGTTTCTTGATCATACCTACACTCCCCCTTCCGAATGGACCTGAAACCATCTCGAGAAATCTTTGATGTGATGAATTCTTGTGAAATTCGCCTCAATAAATCCTAGAGATTATTGAAATCAACAAAATGAGCTTTCGCAAATACTTCATTAGCTTTTCTTGAAGGAGCTTTGAAGATTTGAGTATACTTCTCTCCTGGAAGTGGTTTCGTCAATCCATCCGCTAGATTGATATCTGTACTGATATAACGCAAGTCTTTTACGTAGTCCCGTGCTAGGTGTAGTCGAAGACTCATGTGCTTGGATCTTTTCGTGGCTACGGTTGTCGGACTCAACGCAAGCGCGGACTTGTTGTCGTTGAAGATCAACGGGAGAGATCCTGACTCCTGTTCTGCAAACCAATTCAAATATCCTTGATCCATAGTCATCCTTACGCAGTCATACGTCGCGCAATACTCGGCTTCCATTGTTGACGTAGCTCGAATCGATTGACGTTTCGACTTCCAACAAATGGGAACCCCGCGTCGATATAAGATTGCGCCTGACGTGGATCGAAAACTTGCAGAACATCCAGCGAAATCTGCATCGCAGAGCGCAATGGTGTCTCTGTATTCTTTGTTTTCTAGCTCTGCAGCTTTTGTGTAAATTTCTTTAAACTTCTTTTCTTGTTGCTTTCTGTATTCTAATCCTTGCGATTTGGTTCCTTTCAAATGCGCTAGAATATGCTTGGCATCTTTTGCCGTTTGGTCGGTTGGACTAGCTACCTGCGTCGCTATTTTCTGTACTGCGAATGCGATATCAGGCCGGGCAACGCAACTGATATACAACATTCCACCAACTAGCGATCTTATCGGAAGTGTGGAACTCGACGGCGAGTCCAAGTCTGCGTGGGAATTTGGTAAACATGGGGAACCTACTGCACGGCAGTCCTTCATGTGAAATTTCTCAAGCAGCTTATCAATTGCATCTTCGCAAGTGATTTTCATGACTCTCTTTTTCGCATTGAAGATCAACTTTGCGCCTAGAAGGTCGCGGATCTCGTTGCCTTCTTTGTCATATTCTGCGAGAATTTCTTTTCCTGGGAACTCTGCTAAAATTGCACTCATTTCTGCAGCGACACGGTCATCATCTTCGCCCGTGATAATGTTGTCATCTATGTAAACTGCTAGCCAGAGTTCCTGCTCTTTTCCCTGTTTGTCTTTTGCAAACTTCTTGAACAAACCTGGTTCGTGTTCGGATGCAACCCAGTCGAACTTCTTGAGTTTGCCAGCATATTCGTCATACGTGCCAACGGTGTGGGCTGATCTTCAGACCGTATAACGACTTTAACAGCCTGACAGCGTCGCCTTTCTCTTTATTCTTGCTCCAGCCGTTATGCTTGGGCAGGCGACATAACGCGATCTCGTCACCTAGAGCTGCACGCGCAAACGCATTGGAAGTATCGAGCTGTCTAATTTTCCATCCGTGTGCTGCTGCTTCAGCAAGTAAGTACCTGCTTGCGGCATGGCTCACAGTTGGGCTGTATATTTCTCCTTGTAGAGATAGCTTTTGCCTGTTTCCTAGTGCTACTAGACGACACTTGTAGCGACCGTCTCTTTTCTTCGTGTAGATGCAAACCGTCGGGATAGTTTCTAACTTATCACCCATCTCTTTGATGTCTTCTGCGGTTGCATGCCTCCACGTTTTCGCTTCTTCTAGCGCTAGGCGTTCGCTTGTATCTGACTCGATCCATTTGATTGCGTCAGGACTTTCCAGACACTTGGCCCAAGTGTGCTGCAAGCCAAAGAGGTAAGGAGTTTCGTCTTCCTCTAATTCATGACGAATCTGGAATATAGCCTCTGCTTCTTTTTCAAATTCCATTGGTAGATCTTTCAGTAAGTCAGATGACGACACAAGGTTGGCTTTTTGTCTTTTCTTAGCTCGAGGACCACGACTCTTGCCTTTGTCGTTGCGTTCTTTGCGCTTCTTTTTGTCCTGGCCTCGGCCCTTCTTGCGAAGTTTCTTTCGTGTAGGTCCTTCAACGAGGATCCTAGGTGCTTCTTGTGTCTCATTATCTGCAGCATCAGCATCAACTGTGTTAGATTTTCTTTTCCGATTTCCATTTTCAGCTTTTGCTTTCTGTTCCGGGGAGTTCTCAGGCGCCTCATCTGAAAACATATCGAGCCAAACCTGATTAGGGTTTTGCTTTTCCTTACCCCCTTCCTCAGGTTGCTCACCCCCTTCGAAACTCTTGCCCTCGTCATTTTCGACGTTATCCTTTTCATTTTCAGAATTGCGTTTGTCCGCATCTTCTTCATCTTTCGAGCGATCGGTCCTCGGAGCGTCCTGACCGCGACTGCTTTGATCGCGATCTGCAGCGGGCTCTACGAGCTGCGAACTATCACCCAGACGCGCCGGATTCGGAAAATCAATCGTCAGCTTGTCAGCGTCCGGCTTTAGATCATCTATTTTGCTGACCAGCGCAGATTCATCAAACTTACACTACAGCACTTCACTTCGTGAACTCCGAAACGGGTTTTGGAGCTTTTCTTACATCGACCATCAATCTGCAGACCACATGCCTACCAGGTATGTAGAATTCTCTTGACCGTAGCCCAGAAAGATTCCACGGGTAAACCGGTCTTCAAGCTTCGACTTCTGTGAGTGATCCTTCGCGTAGACCAAGCATCCGAATCGTCGGAAGTACTTGGCGGAGGGTTTTCTTTTGAAGCGTTTTTCAAATGGCGACTCGCCTCCTTTGGCTGTCGGGGTTCGGGCGAATATGTGTGAGAAAGTGCGAGCTGCATAACTCCACACACGTTTATCAACTCCGACCGTCATAGCTCTTACTCCGTTTTGGTGAGTTTGGTTGTATCTTTCAGCTTTCCCATTCTCTTGCGGCTCATATGGGGCTGAGGAGTCAGTATGAATCGGCGGGGACTGTTTCTGTGCTGTCTTTTTCCAAGTGCTATTTGGTTCCTTGAACTCTTTCGCGTTGTCGGATCTCACTCTTTTCGGTGGTCCCTCTTCATTTATCCAGGCCTGCAGTCTCGCGCCTGCTTCTGCTTTGCTTTTGCAGATGAAAGAACGAGGCCAGCTGGTTGCTTGGTCGATGGCATTCAAAGCCCATCTTTCCGACCAGTAGTCAGGTTCGTTCCCAAGGTCCAGTGAAGTCAAAATCAGCCTGGTCATTGAATTTCTCAACTTTGTAGCATTCTTCCTTTACTTTTGCATGTTGCGCGCCTTTGCTTTTCGCGAGATCGCAGGCAGGGCATCGGACTACTATTCCAGGTAGACTACGATGTCCAGCACGCTGATGATCAAGAAGCATTTTCTCAGCCTTTGCCATCGTGGTAGTAGACTCGGTCTCGATCTCTTCGCACAACAAACCTTGCTCACCAGGATCTTCGTTGAACCCAAGCGCCACGGCCGGCAGCTTGGTTCCGATCCCTTTGCGAAGAAGAGTTCTCTTTCCTGTTTTCCTACTTTGCAAGTAGTTGCCCCCTTCGTCGAAAGCAACCCTGTGTCCTTCTTTCTTAAGTTGTTCGACATTGAGGAGGGTCTGTGGAGGGAATGGATGGAATATTGCACGTTTGCAACCAAGTGCGTTTGGTTTCAATGTTACTCAGAGAAAAACTGTGATACAGGAAAAAATTTGAAATTTTGATTCGCAGCAACGCTGCGGATACGGTTAAACTACTTTGCATTTGGTCGACAGAGCGACATTGCAAAGTCGTCAGCTGGTTGCAGGCTCCGAACGACGAAAAGCGGCCCACCAAGATTGGGCAGACCTAAACCCACCACACCATGGGGAATGAAATTGAATTTGCGACGCGTTATCGTATTTTTTGCATGACGCCAACGAAGGCGCTGAGTTTTTCCGTCGAGTACTCCGGCGAGTACCTCGGTCGAGCTGCTGTATCACACTTTTACAATTTCACTAAGCGGAAGCTAACGCCGGTGCTATGGTGGTTTTGTAAAAGTGTGATACAGCAGCGCAGTGTACTCGTGCGAGCACTACCGCGATCTGCTGTATCACAGTTTTCCAACTGGCCAAGTGTTTCGCTTCAGCTGTCTTCCAAAAGTGCTCACTTTGCATCAAAAAAATGAGATATATTCGCTGGACTTGATTCCAGTCCCTGCCTAACGGTCGCCACCTCGACCACCTACTTACCTGCTCTGGCCGCCCATTGCGGCATGTCTTTGACTGCAAGTCGTTGCGGCAACCGCACTCAAATACTGTTCGCCTCGGCGAGTCAAAATTTCAAATTTTTTTCTGTATCGCAGTTTTTCTCTCAGTAAATGTGCCAAAATATCCAGGGCCGTCCAACTCTTTTCCGTCTGCTACAGTTATTCGCACTGGATTACTTTCGTCCCAAGATTCGAATATCTCTGGTCGGCCCGACATGTGACTTGTTGCGCCACTGTCGCAAGTTGCATCATCGACACAGTTGAAAGCTGTTTCATGATTTCGGTGCTGCTCGTCCTTTTCATTCCGATTCGCATCGTTCGCCTCGCGCACCTTCCTCAATGCTGATTAGATTCGCGAACGCTGTAGAGGTGTGCTAGCTTTCTTGCTGTGTACTCGGGCGAATGATTTTGCTCGCTTTCTTTTGTTGCGATCGAAAATTAATACTGCATCTATTGACAGATTGCATTTTTCAACTCGTTCGGTCAGGCGGACACCTGCCGCCGGATTTTCCCGCTTAAATCAGGCTAAAAAATTGCTAAAAGCAAAAGACTAGGCCCCCGGCGGCGTTTCGTCAGTGCGCGCGCCGGGCCCTGGCTTTGTCCAATGCCTTGCGCCGTGGCCGCGCAGGCATTGGGCCGGCCACCTAGCATCCCCCGGGCTTTGTTTGCCCTCCCTCTTTCAGTTTTGCTCGTCGGTGGCGCTTGGGTTCCCCCTGTGGAGTTTCTGCTTTCTCATGGCTTTGCCGGGGCGTCGCCAAAGCAGTCCAGTAAAGAGAAAAACAGCACCAGAGCGCAAATCAAGTTGCACAAATTTTTCAATAAAGGACATCAAGATGAAAAAACGGCTTCGAAAATTATGAGAAGGATTCAGCGACTCAAAAGTAGCGGATACCGCCTCTCGATGGTTCCCAAGATAGAGGTCCGGATGGAGGCCCTCCATGAACGAAAGCCACCGATACAGGTCGGGGAACCGAAAACGAATTCATTTTCACCGAATCGCGGCGCTGTGGCGCCTTTTTTCAACATTTCTGCGCCCTGCACCTTCTCGCCCATGCACCTTCTCGAGCCACATGGGGCACACAGAAACGCCCAAACCATACTCGTGATTTACCTTCAAGCGGCCCCCCTTCGCGTGGTTGGCGCTCGAGCCCCGACGGCGTCGGCCGGTGCAATGGCGCACGAGATTGCCCCTCTTTGGGGGCTTTCCATGGGCACATACCCTCCGACGCCGTAGCGGCCGTGGTGTTTAGAGCTTGCGCTCCTATCCCAAGGCATTTCGGCCCGGGGTTTGCGGCTTCGTGGAGACAACAAAGCAAGCGCAGGCTGCGCTTGTTGTTTTGTTTGCTGACAAAGCGGCCCGCATGATAGCAATGCGATCAGGCCATGCTGGGGTGGGCCCAGTCTTTCATGAGCGCAGGCCCAAAACCCTGCCTGCCGCCACCTAGCAGAAGCAACTACGTCCGGCGGTGTAGCCGCTTCGGTTTGAAGATAGGCCGCAGGGCCCCTTTCAAACAGGTGGCGCGCATGTCTTCCCCAGGACTACCTAGCAGCGCTGCTGCCACTTATATTTTTGACTGCTTTCGTTTTTGACTATGTGGGGCTGCGCAAATTTTTCAATAAGGACATCAAGATGAAAAAATTACAAACGGCCACCCCTGTTAACACAATCGGGGGGAAATGCTTCCAATAATCTTCCGAAATCCTTCCAGCACCCCGGCAAAGTTCGCGGCGCCCCAGCCCTGAGTGCAGCCGGGCGGCCTATTTGTTTTTCTGCCCTGGGACAGGCAACCCACCGCGGCAGGGTGGCGTAGACAGTAGCCCGAGCCGTGGCGCGCAGCCGCTCGCTGTAGGGCTTGCGCCCCATTGCCACCTTAAACCAACGCCGGAAATCGGGCGAGTTGCGCCCCCTTGCCCCCTGTGTTGTGCACTACAGCGGAACGAACTTAACGAAAGGCCGAGGCAGGCTTCCCAGCAAGCCTGCCGCGCTCGGAGGGGGCCGGCCCGCGGCCTTCGAAGATCGATGCAGCCGCCGGGCCGTAATGGGTTGCTTGTGGAAGGCCCCGCGGCTCGCGGAGTGCGTCGCCAGCCGACAGCTGTCCCTGAAGAGGGCCAACAGAAAATCCTTCCGAAGGGGCCGCCGGAAGGGCTTCCGGAATGCCCGCGAAAATCCTTCCCGAGGCTTCCGGAAATCCTTCCGGAATCCTTCCGGAATCCTTCCGAAATGCTTCCGAAATCCTTCCGAAATCCTTCCGCCGACGGTATGGCCGACCCTCCTGGGCGAAAGGGAAATCGAAAATTTTTTTTTTCTGAAAAAAGCAATTTGTAATGCGGTTTTTCGCCCTTCCCCGAAAGCTCGGAGTTCATTCTGGTTGCGCCCTTCCCCTCTGGTGTCCCAGAAGTAGGCCACCTACAGGGCGCTGCCGAATCTGGGCATGTTGCTTGGCAGGGCGGTGCACAAATTTTTCAATAAGGACATCACGATGAAAAATTAACTCGAAACCGCCTTACAATATAATCAATTTTTAATGATTTGGCTTGATCCAGCTTGTGCCACTTGGTGCAGCTACATCAAGCCGATAAAGCGATCTGATTCACACTGACTGTCACCTGCCGAAAGCGGACCACTTCGCGGAAGTGGGCAGGTGTGTGTGTGTGTGTGTGTGGTTGGTGCTGGCTTCACCACTGATGCCTAGGTGGGTCTGTGGCCGTCCGATAGATCTCCTTGCCCACTTGATCTATAGATGGGATTTGGCTTCAGGGTGGAGCCTGGATGTCGGAGGTGGGCCTTCTCGGTGGAGCCCGACCTGGCGACCAAGTCAGGCGCCCGTCTGTGTCGGAGTCGGCGATAGAACTTTGCGCCTGATAGAGTGTGTGTCTGTCCGCCACTGAGCTCATTGCTCAGTGGCGGACGTAGGCTCAGTGATGTCTCCTTCCGATTTAGGCTAGAAGGTAGGCGGCTGGGCTTCTGGTTTTTCAATAAGACTAGATGACGGTGGGCGGGTGCTTGCACAAATTTTTCAATAAAGGACATCAATATGAAAAAACGGCTTCGAAAATTGCGAGGTCTTCCTGTTTGACTAGCCACATAAATGGAAATGCAATGTACGAACCTAATATCAGTGGTGATTCCACCCCGCTGCGTTGCAAGTAAATCTAACGACAGCACAATGCATTATAGTGCACAACGACTAAAACTGAACACGCTGGAGCCTTAACCTTTACGACATCCAATGCACAACGAAAATAAAAGAAAAAACGCTGGATCTCTATGAGCAGGCACAATGCCAGCCGGCGCGCATTTTTTTCTTGTAGTAACATTCGAACTTCTGTTCAAAAATAAAACCGACGTGCTTGCTATCGCTCCGCTTCGACCTCTCGTCTTCGTCTTTGTGGTAGGTGTTGGGTCGTTGATGTGTCGCGGTTCGACGTTTACTCTAGTTTCCATCACGATAATCGATAGCCTCGCCAAGAAAAAAAGATAATGGCATGCATCTGATCGGCGTCTCAATTTCGGTGTGCGTTTACGGGTTCATCTCGCACAGCAGCTGGGTCGTCGTGAAAATGTTGGTCGTGGGTCATCGAATAATTCCACCTCGTGATGGACGTATTGATCACGATGTCGTTACGATCTTCTTCGCTCGTCTGAGTCGTGCTATTCCTATTCGTCTGCTCCCCGACGTCCGTAGAAGCCGAGATCATGACGACCTCCTGGTAGTTTGTCTGACAACTTTCTATATTGATGAATCGACATTCGTCCTACTGAAGAAGAAGATGATGATTTCACCAGCAGCACATCAGGATGAACTTGAACTCTTGTAGAACAAGTTCGTGTAGGTTTTTTCCGGCGAAAAATGACTAAAATCCTAAGCAAAACTTTATGATAACGAGTGCGCACAGGTAGCAGGAGTTAGATCTAGTAGATGAAAATGAGGACTCCTGTACCGCTACCCTGCTCAGTTGTTGCCGCTCCCGTACGTAGTGGTTTACGAAGACGGCAACAGCAAGCACTGCAGCAGGCAATGAAATTGGCGATAGGAGTGCCTCTTGTTCTGCTAGGATGTACTCCCAATGTTGACCACGCATTTTTCTTGTCCTTGTCCTCCCACCTGGTGGGAGGCCAAGTTCCCTTTGTCGAAGCTCTGAACGCCGAGCAGTACAACATCCAGTCCGACCGGAAGATTGGGGTGGTGCACGAGGAAAGAAAAAACAATGAAGAAGATGTCGAAGAAGAAAACGACAGCGGAAATAAATCTTCCACGCAAGTAGAACCTCCAGACGAGAAGGCCGCCGCTGCGACAGATCATGATGATTTCAAAACTGGAGTAGAAGACGACCTTGGCCGACCACATCGCGAGCAAACCCAAACGGCACAGACACGACGAGAGGACCCAGCATCTTTGTTACCCTCAATACCCAACAATGACCTGCTCCACAGCACCGACCCCAGCCTGGACCAGCTTTCCTCCTCTTTCAGCGCCATGCTGAACGGGCAGAACAAGACAAAGAAGTTCATGGAGCGACGGAAGAATGACGAACCAGCGTGGATGTTTCAATACGTATTGGACTTTGCCGGTTCAGTCACGGAGAACTTGATCAGCGGCGGCGCATTGTTTACAACTAGCGACACCGACGGCGCCGGGGAAACGACAAACTCGATCACTGACAGCGACTTTCTTTTCTCGGACAGCAGTACGTCTGCAGCAGGGGACCAGCAAGATGTTGTCAAAAAAACAACCGCAACGGCGTCGGCGACATTTCTGGAGACACAAAAAATAGCGCAGCAAGCGCTAGTGATAAATAGGAAGCAGCCAGCAGCACCGAGGAAACCAGCAGGAGGGGGAGCACCTCCTGCAGCACCAGCAGCCCCACAATCGCCACCTGTCCAAGCAGGAGGTGCAGCAGCACCAGGCCCGGGGACCACCGTTTCAACGCAAAATACCGTGGAAGAAACGACCACTATCACCAGTGCGGAGGAGAACTGCTGTGGCGGTTGCTGCGTTACCGTCACGGCGATCTGTGTCGTTTTGGTCGTCGGGGGTGTGTATGAACTGCAAAAGTATCGTACTCGTATAAATGCATCACAAATTTCCTCAGCATGAGAAATAAAATTTGTAATGCGGATTTGCCTCAAGAAAGAGATTTGTAATGCAAGACTTGCAATTAGTACGAGTACGATACTTTTGCACAGGATAGTGTCATCGCGAGTATGGTGTACATGGGGTACTGCGGGTCCACTGGGGATTATCCAAGGAAAAAAGAGCGTTAGTGTAAATTTGTGATGCGCAGCATGCAAATTGATTGCGCCTGTCATGCTGTGCCTGCGCTGTCGGGTCCATTCAGCGGCGTTTTCCGCTACTATCTGCGCATGACAGGTCTTTGCTGTCATGCGAGAAATATTTGTCATGCTAATCCTCCAAGAAAGTTACGCCTACAATCTTTTTTTCCTGCATAGAGATTACGACACCGCGGCAGCCGCAGGCGAGATGGACTCCGCCCTCCTTGGATCAGGCGGGGTCATGGGCTCCACGACCGGTCCCGGGATCGTGCCCAGCACGGACGGCTTCGAGGGTGATCTGATGTACGGGGGCAAAGGAGATGTTTATGAACAGGAAATAATCAAGTTTTTGTATCATGTTGTGTGTACAAATGTCATTGCATTTTTCATCTTGCATGACAAGTTCAAGTCCCTGGTGCACCATTTATTTGTACAACACGTGCGGTACAAGAACCCGTAACGATTGCATACTGTCGATATGAAAGTTTGGCAGCGCGCACCCCGCAAACCTGGCCCCGGTGCAGATTTGATTCACACCTTTGCTGACGAGGATGCCTTCGGACAAGGCAAGAAGCCAAAAAAGAAGGCCAAGGCAGGAGTATGATCTGCAAAAGTTGTAATTGTATCGCAAACTCCTGTAAAGTGAATTGCTGACGTCCTGCTCCTGCATGACATCAGACTTCGTTCTTGCTTTACTACCTGCTGCATGTTGACAATTGTAGTTTTCTAACTGCGATAATTTACGCTTGTCATGCTGGGACAATACAACTTTGCCATGCATACGAAGTCAAGGGTCCAAAATTTGTCACTGCGGCGAAAAACATCCTGAAGGCTAATCCGCAAGCGAAGGCTGCGATCTTGGCGGAAAGCTTTGGCATATCACAGAAAAAAAGAAGTGTTGTAGTTGTTAACGTTAATGTAAATGTTTGAGGGCTAGTACTACAACTGGCACTTTCTGGTGCTGTCCTGCATGACAGATTTTCTGTATCATGCATGCAATGCATATGCATCTATGCGGCCCTTTCTCTCCTGTGTCTGAACGTCAACACGTTTTTTTCCCCGCGATATGACAAAGCCGCGAGCTCGAGCACTCAGCCAATGAACCGATCGGGGAGCAGTCGGTCGTGTATCCACATAACTAAACTTAGTTCCGTACACGACGTACAAGAAGCACATCCGATGCTGACACTGCATTTTTTTACGATAAAACTTTTCCGCAGCTGCAAGCACATCGATTCGACATCTTCACAAGTTTCATGCTTGTTCAGGTTCATCTGCTTCTCCTTCGCAAAGTTTGTACCTGCGTTTGTACCTCCTCCTGTGCGGGAAAATAAATTTCTATTGCATATGAATGAAAAGCGCCAAAGCATCACTAGCGAGTGCCGGCGGGGCGCCAGAAGTTGTTGATCAACAAGTACAAGAGGTGCAGTTGAAAAGCAGGAGTGTATCCTGTGCAAAAGTATCGTACTCGTTGTAATTGCAGTCATGCTCCCGAGGTAAATCCGCATTACTTAATGCTGACGCTGAGGAAATTTGTAATGCAATTTATAGTAGCACGATACTTTTGCACTGTATAGTGTAAGAAGTCCAGCATTTTCAACCGCGGCTTTGATGACCACCCTGAAAAAACCGGCGGACCACCGGAAGTGACCACCACCATGAAGTCGCCCGGAGTAGATTCCAACGACCTGCCCGTTGGCGTGACCGGCGACCTGACCGGTTTTCGCGATCGCCCGTCTTTTCTGAAGCCCCAGTCCAACGACAGCACTACCAGTAACAGCCGAAATAAAGTCCTCGAGAGTAACGCGAGCAATGCCTCCAGTAACATCAACAGTCGAACTAGTAGACAATCGAACACAAGTTTTCAGGAGTATGCAGCAGTGTACAAGGCGGGTCTGAAAAGCGCGATCATTTCGAAAAGCAAATCCCCAGCGGCACAGCCGAAATCGAACAGCACACCAAAATCGAACAGCACTCCGAAATCGGTGGACAGCGACGCCGGGGGAAGTAAAAAGGCGAAACCGAAGGGGAAGGCAAAGTTTGCGGCAGCGGCCAAGCGAGTCATCAAGAACGCACCGGAGGATAGCATCATGAGCTTCGCTGCAGTCGTAACAACCGCCAAAGCCGCCTCGAGAAACAACTCGCCCACGGCGCGCGACTAGTGCTCAACAATGTCGATGAAGAGCAAAATCTAATTATTTCAGTTTCAATGTTTTCATTTCGCTTTTACAACCACATTTTTTTGTTTTTGATCAGAGTATTGCAATGTTCATTTTGACAATTGACAACCATCAGTTTCATCTTTTTCATGTGTTTCGTAAATTTGATTTCCGATCTTTGTGTACCATTTTAATGCGCATGCGCGGAAGAAAATGTGTCGTGTTCGCCGCAAGGCCTATCTTTTGTTTCAAGATTTCATGATATTATGACCGCACTGTCGTGTCTTGTAAAAGAGATTTGTTCAGTATCAGTTTCAGTAGTTGCGAAGGAAGTAGGTGGTCTTTTTCGTAGCTTGTTTCACGATGAGCACGACGTTGTGCTGATCTTCGTGCCCGAGCGAGAGCTACATTTTACGAACAGTAACAAACCATTGAAGTTGAACCACTGTACAAAAATTTGAAAATACTATGGCCCGTCAGGTATTGCGCAGAGGCTAAAGCGCGCTGCAAGGAAAGATGCAAGTAGACAGCCAGAAGGATCTCACCTTCGTCTACGCATAAAGCAGCTGCTCCACCTGCGCTTGTGATTTAGTTTGAAAATCAAGTCCTCGCCGCGTTGAAGGAGTTTAGTCCTGAAGGCTTGTCTAGCTGACATTAGGTACAACTTCGTCCATCGTAAAATTCATCTTATGAAATTTTAGCTCCGGCGCATCTCATCTGGTGTCGTCAGGGTCGTTGTCTTCGTTGTCGCTATTCGTAATCTGCATGATGGTCGTCGTTTACTATTGCCGTCGAAAACCACCTTCGTGCTTTTTCGTATTCCGACCGGAAGATCGTCTTCGTCGTATAATATGGCGGTGATATCGCACGCGACGTATGCCTCATTGGCATATCGTGTGGCTCTTCGAAAAGAGATGGAAGTGGGGTCGTGCAATCAGACAAAGAAAATGACACCAAATTTCACTCAATAGCTGCGCATTCTGACTGTTTTTTTTCTATACTAGACAAATTACGGACGAAGAACTAGAACAACAAGATGAATGTTACTGATTCAACATCGCGCAGCTTGCTCAAAAATCGAGACTGAATCTGAATTGAAGTAAGACCAGATAATCGAATCAAAATGGAGCAGAGCAAGATCCTAATGAGCGCCCGTGCGTTACGAGGACCTCTCGCCACGGCGAGGATTGGTTCAACGGCGACCAAGCGCCTTGCAGTACTGCAGTTCATAACCCTACTTCTGGGTACAACTACGGACACCTTCCAACAAGTTTCTGCCCTGAAGCCGCGCATGCACATAGAGGCGTCGGATGGGCGTGCAGAAAATGCTGAACAATTGCAGGCAGATCGGGCGTTGAAGGTCGACGATGAGAGTACTACAGCAGAGAACAAGGAACAACAAGTCCTCGGCCAAAAGCAAAATGAAAACACAGAAGTAGCAGAAGCGGAGTCTAGCAAGCCGGATGTTGAACAAAATTCGCAGCACGCCGGAGTAGCCACTTCCGTCTTCCCCTTCAGCTCCTCTACCCTACAGAATGGGCAGAGCAAAACCAAGAAGTTCATGGAGCGGCGAAACGGGGACGAGCCTGTATTCAGGAAAAAAACACCATCACAATCACTTTTGCACATTTTTGCAATACAAAAACTTTTGTCATGCGCAAAAATGCATCACAGTCAAGAGTTATTGGCGATTTTTTCCCTTTGTGTTTTTGCAATACAAGAAAAAATTGTCATGCGAGAGAAATTTCTGATGCGTAACCTTCTAAATGTGGTTGTGATGGTGTTTTTTTCTTGGATAGCCTGCGTGGATGTTTCAATACGTCCTCGACTTGTATGAGAGTGCACAAGAATGAGTATATCTGGTACAACTTCCCTCGTTTGAGTTTGTAACAAGGGCATGAGCAGCAAGAAAGGAAGCACGGTAATAGATGACACAGTGCCGGACTGGTTAAAGTACTTCAGAAATTTGTCATGCAAACGGTACCTCCAAAGGCCAGCACGAACTAGCTTCAGCAATTTGCATCCCGAATGAGGGAACGAGGAGGTATAGTTCTTGCGCACTCTCATAACATCGCCGGAGCGGTCACTGGCGCGGTCAAAGAGCCGAGTGGAGATGAGGATGGCGAACAGGGATGCACTGCAAAAGTATTGTCCTTGTACTCCTGATTGCAAATTATACATGCATCACTATATCTGGTTTTTTAATGTGCTTGTGAAAAGTGGTATTTCGGTTTTATTTCCACCAGTTGATGATGTCGTGTATATGCAATTTCCACTAGTACTTACAATACTTTTGCAATGCATAACAGGAGGAAGAAGCGAAGATGTTGAAGAAAAAAGCCTCGTCGCACTTTTTTCTCGATCCGGAGTTCTCCACGGCCACGGCGAGCACGTCGGCCTTTGTGGAAATGGATGTGCTGCAGAAGAAGCAGGAGAAGTCGGCCACACTCGTGGGTACTGTGCCACTTGTTCAGGAATATACACCCCCGACTCCGCATCAGGGTGGACCGGCCTATTCCACGTACGCTGCAGATGACCCAAATCACCAAATGCTCACGGAGGCAGACCAAATGACAACCACCGTGACAAATGAAAACGTCCTCGTTTCCGGTGGAGCTCAGCAGGGCCTCGGGTGCGGTAAGATCATCGCCATTGTCGCGGGCTCGATCCTCGGCCTTATCGGGCTGGGCCTGCTTTTCTGGTTCATCTACACTTCTTCTTCGGCCGACGAGGAGAAGAAGCCCGTGCCCTACCACCCGCCCGTCGTGGTGCAGCAGCCCCCTCCGCCGCCGGTCGAGCAGCCGAAGAAGAAGGCGAAGAAGAAGTTGAAAGCGAAGAAAAAAACGCCCGGGGGCGACACGACCGGCACCGAAACGGAGGCAGACCCCCACGGGGCGCCCAACGCGAAGGGGGACGCTTTGAGTTTCGACGAGAAGCACTTCATCTCGGAGCACCCGGCCCGCAAGTCTATCGAGGTGAATTTGGATCCCACTGTGGTCGAGAACGCGCTGATTGACGCCGGTGTCTCGGGCGGCTACGCGAAAACTATGCACTGCAAAAGTATCGTACTCATATTGCAATCATGCATTACAAATCCTTTTCTGAAGGCCAATCCGCATTACAAATTTAATTTAATTTGTAATGCTAAGTCAATTTGTAATGCATTTATACTAGTACGATGCTTTTGCATTGCATAAAAATGTGCGCGAACCAAATCTGCGACAAGTACGTGCATGACGGAGAGTTTTTACTGCGTCCCAGTGGCGATGGGGACGAGAAAGTCCTGATGCAGTTTGGGTTGAGCTGGGATGACGGGCCGGAGTACGTGGGACGCATGCGCGAGTTTTTGATGAATTTGGCCGAACGGCAAAAACAACAGAAGGAGACGGAGCAAGCTCTCCAACAACACGGGTTCTCGCCGCAAGCGGCGGAGTTTCTGGCGGAAAGGTTGGTCGACGACCTGGATGACGATGACGAGCGGGCCACAATGGCGCTGACGGATGAAGTATCAAATGCAAAAATGTTTGGGTCTGGAATGTGTGATGCACATTTTGCATGAGTCCTGACGTCTGTGATGGATGCCCTAGCATCACAGATTTTGTGAGGGCTTTCTAATGCCTATGCCGCTCATTGAGAAAAGCAAAAGCCCTCTCTTCGTGGCAAAAAATGTACCGCTTTTGCTGTTCATGCAATTATACAGATTTTTGTAGCATCCAAATGCAGCATCACAAGTTCGCATCCTTCCAGACCCAGACACTTTTGCAGTTGATATGAAGATAAGACGCTAACCCTGGAGGAACGGCGGAAGAAGTACAAGCAGGAGCGCAAAAAGCACCGGAAGGGCATGAAGGGCGGCGCGCACGGGCACGGGATGGAGGCGTTTATATGCATTGCAAAGTATCGTACTCGTATAAATGCATTACAAATTTCCTCAGCATGAGAAATGAAATTTGTAATGCTAATTTGCCTTAACAAGATGATTTGTAATGCATGACTGCAATACGAGTACGATACTTTTGCACAGGATAGCTCATCGAAGATGCGGACTTTCAGCAGCTGGCGAGCCCCAAGGATTTGGAGATGGTGAAGGAGATTACGGAGTATCCACAGTAGATTTCCCCTACACGTACAACTACAAATGCAGTCTCTCCATGACAAAATTGAGCTTCGGTCCTAGTTTAGCATGACAAGTGTTACACTCCAAATTGGTGAGATTTGTGATGCATTTTGCACATGTCCGGGAAATTTGTATTGCATACGGAGGAAACCAGGAAGATTCCGCCCGTGGGAATTCTTCCTCCGGTCCAGCCCGGAGAAGAAGAGCCGAAGGACGGGAAAAAAAGCAAAAAGATCAAGCCTGGCCAGCAGCGCGGCGCGGTGGATATCGACGCGGCGACGGCGCTTCCCTCGGGCATCTTTGCCACCGAGGAGGGGAAGAAGCGCGGCAAGAAGTGGAAGGATTTTGTCGCGCCCGCGTCGACCATGCTGATGGCGCAGGAAACTGCGAACATGAATCACAAAATGCACAAGAAGCACATCCCCGAAGTGACGAAGGAAAACCTGAACTTGAATCTGCACGTGAAGAAGGTGGGCGTCAAGTTCGGGAAGAAAGAGCATTTTACCGTCGACGCCGGGATGGGACTCATGCGCGCGAAGGCCGATTTTGCAGCCCACCAGGAGGAACACGAGGCAGAAGAGGTCGGAGACGCGGCCACAACTCCCGCTCCCGCACCCGAACAGGGGGATGAGGCTATTGCGCTGGGCGACAGGATTTTGTCCAAGAAAGGAAGCTATGACATTTGTAAAAGTGATGTCCTTCGCGCCGGCGTATATTTATTAGAATGGCCATCGTAGTACATGACTACAGTTTTGCATTCTTTTTCCTGACCTAAAAAAACCTCACAGATCTGCACCTCACCTTTCCTATGGAGTAAAAGCAATTGTCATGCAATTCGTACACCACACGAACACGAAGATACTTTTGCAATGCATACAGGCAATCAGTCGCTGGGCTCCGGGATTGACGCGTCCCGAGTGACCGTACAGCCAACGGGAGTGAAACAGTCCTCCAACGACCAGTCGCTCCAGAAAAAGGGCACGCTGGATGCGTCATCCATGCCAGGACTTCCCTCCGGCTTGTTCCCCGACGGCAAGCCCGCTGCGGGCGAGGTCGGCGCCCACTCCTCCGCGGCGGATCCCTCGGTTCCGGCGGTACCCAGCGGCATCGTCCCGGATGCCGATGTATGCATTGCAAAAGTGTCGTACACGTACTAGTATACATTGCATCACAAATTTTTTCAAGAAGAAAAATGCAATTTGTAATGCTATTTTACCTAAAAAGAAAACATTTGTCATGCACGGTAGCTGCAACTACTATCAGTACGATACTTCTCCAGTGGATACGAGGGCCACATCGAGCACTACAAGGATATCCACCTGCACCCGACGTCGTTGGAGAAACGGCATGTTGGTGGTAACACCACGCCGCCGGAGCAGAAGGGAGAAAAGGTGGAAATAAAAGAGAAGAAGAGCCGGAAAGAGAAGTCCTCGCGCCGCGATCACTCCGGGGCGAGCACCGCAAGTGTGGGCGGCGGGATAAACAACATGTCCACCGTCCCGCCAGTACCCTCTGGCCTGTTCCCGCGCCAGACGGGCCGGCAAAAATCCGACGCGTCGGGGCGCTCCGATCCTTCGCAGACGATTGGTGGGGCCAGTTCGTTGCCCTCTCGCGGGGATGGAACTACAAGAAATGCCTCCGAGCAACAGATGATATCAATTGGAAATGATAAAGATCGCACTGACTCGTAGTGATTTCAATACTGCATGCACAATATGAACAAATCTGGTTTCTTAGGCGATTCAGCTGCATTAGAGAAAAGTCCCATTTCTACGTCTTCCCGTGAAATAAGAGTTTGTAAAATGCAATTTAGATAGTAGTGCTAGTGCGATGCTTTTGCATTTTTGCATCACAAACTAGGGACAACTCCACCACACCCTACCTCCGCTTGGATGACACAATATGAAAGCCTCAGAATGGAAATCCTCATCAAAGTGGAAATGATTTGTGATGCATGAAATGCGACGCAAAAAAGACTGTATTGCACAGGACGCAAAGGAGGCGACTATTGTCCTGCTAGGGTTGAAGAATTGGAGTGCTGCTTAGCACGACAGAAGGGCACCCCTTTGCCTTAACCTGCATGACAGACATGCTTTAAGTGCCAGGGAAATTTGTGGTCATGCGCCGACTACAAATGCCGCTTCAAGTGGAGTCGTTTTTTTGCATCACAAATTATAATTTCCATTTTGAGGATTTTCAACCTGAGGCTTTCATACACAACCGCCGGGAATTCTACCCAGGCCGGATTACCAGCATCCTCCGCGGGAGCGAGAATTCCTAATCCGAAAACGAAGAAGAGCGAGAAGTCGTCGAAGGACGAGGATGCTTCCGACAGCAACCCGCTCGCGGTGAGCCCTGTCGCGGTTCAGCGCGGCATGGCTGTGCCCACACCGTCTGTCGCAGTTCCCAACGCTTCGGCGCGTGGCACGACGCAAGCGGCGGGGGTGTCGGGGCGTGAGAAGTACCCGAGCATTCAAGAGCCAGGGGACTGGGTCCAGTCATCGGGTGATGGCAGGAATTTTCTTTCCGGGAAAACCACGCAGAGTATGACACTGCACAACTCCCCCTCCCCCTCATTTGTCATGCAGAATACCAAATCCAGGCTGTGCCTCTTGGCGCTGCTTGCATGACAAACACCAGAAGCCCAAGCAATACAAATACTACACTCCTGGGAAAATTTGCCATGCGAAACCGGTATTCTTGCTGACGCTTGTATTGTCGTTCATGCTACACAAAGGAGGAGGATGGGGAGTTGTGCACTCTCATACAGGGCAAGAAAGACATCGCTGCTGGAGGGGGAGACGGGGGGATGAACTCCACGCTTCAGTCGGTGCTGATATGCAAGAAACATTTACCGTACACGATCTACCGTACAAATGCATCAAAAGAATTTTTTTGAAATCCATCGGAGGATGCCATTTGGCGTGCAGATGAACATTAGATTTGCTGGAGTTGTGAGAAAGTTTTGTCATGCTGAAATTTGAATGGCGCATGAACAAAATGGTAAATCTTTTCCTTCGGATACCCGAAAGCACCAAAAGAGGAGATGGAGCAACTGAGCCCGGATGCTGCGGGGAATCAGAGCATATGGATTGTAAAAATGTCTGGGTCTGGAAACTTGTAACGCTGCGGTGGGAGTAGTGAACGCTCTGTAATGCACAGCCAAGCATGAGAAATGTCTGCGCTTCGTTGTGTTGCGTTTGTCGCATGACAAACTGCGTTTTTACATGACACGCAAAGGCGTCTCTTCTTGGACACGCATCACAAACTTTTTGGTCATGCCAGACAAGCATGACAAATCGCGCATTCTTCCAGACCCAGACACTCTTGCAATTGATACAGCATGCGGAAAAGCAAGAACATCTCGGTCCTCAGCGGAGCGTCGATGAAGAGCGGAGCGTCGGGGAAGAGCATGACCTCCAAGCGGGCAGACCCGGATGACGACTCGGTATCAAATGGAAATAATATATCTGGGTCTGACTGAAGGATTGCTAAACTTGTCATGCAGGGTTTCCATGACCCATATGATCTGCAATGGAGGACCTGCTAGCATGACAGACTCAGTGCAATGACTATCAAGCCCAGCCTGCATGAGAAACTGCCTGTCGTCAACTTGATCAAAAGTGGACAGCATTTGGTAACCATGCAACGCAGATTTTTGCCTGGTCCAGATTTAGCATGACAAGTTGCAGAGTTCCAGACCCAGCCATATTTGCAATGCATACTCGGCAAGCAGCAGCGACCGTTCCTCCGAGCGGAAACAGACCACCGTCAAGAAGGATCACAGAAGCTTGCTGTTTGACAACTTAATGTGAAATGATCGAGGACGTGCTTACAATTTATTTGCTCGAGTATGTCTTTGTCTACTATTGCGAAGTGGATCACCGGCGCACTCCTTCTGCTCCGTTATTTCAGCTTCAGCAGTATGTCTTACATCTACTACTACTTCAATTGGGTTATTTTCAGATACAGATTTGATTTTTAGGAATGAGAATGAATGACTTCAAGTTCTTTAAACCTCGGTAGAAGCCGCCGACTTCTACCGCTGTTGATGCACCGTTTTTGTGTTTGTACGACTGTTTGATTGTTCGCTTTTAGCATTTGACTTTTCATTCTGCTTTTAACATTACATCTTACAACTACGATCTGTTTGTGTTTACTAAGTTTTGATGAAAATTGCTGTGACCTTTGAATTTGTCCACTACGACTGGCTTGTTTTATTTTGCAATTTCTGTAGCATTTTTGTACAAATTTTATCGAGACACACCTCTTATTGAAGAAGCGCTTTTCATGATGACATCGTGCTCAGTAGAGAGTGGCGTTTGTTTCCAACTAACGAATCGCTTTAAGAAAAACTCGTTGTAAACCTGTATACTACGCATTTTGCTTTGGAAAAGGAAAAAATGAAAATGGGTAGGAGACGAGACTCGCCTCGTCTTGGGCACGCGTGCTGCGTTGCCGCGTAGAAACACGCCACGGTTTCAGCAGGCGTGCCGTCAGCAATCACGCGCACGATCGTTTAAGGTCACACTCGTCATAAGGAGTCAGTCATCACGATCAGCTGCTCACCGTTGCGCCTCATCGTTACTAGTGCTGCTCGTCTGATCGTCGCACACATAGAACTACAACTCGTGGTGGTCTGTTTCATGCTCTGTAGGGTCGTCACTGGTGGTCTGCAAGAAGTTGTAGCTAGCACTGTATATTCTTATAACTTCCGCGCCTATCCTGCTCTACGGCCTTCGCTTTGGCGTTTCGTGAAGAAGATGGAAAAGCCATGCTGTAGGAAAACAAGTAGTTTGCATCGTAAAAATCGTATCGTGTTGTATATACGAATAGGCTAAAACCAATGCCCCTGCATCCTTTGACACATGTTGATTTTCATGATTGTATGAAAAAAACATCCGTATACCGACAACAATTCACCCAAATTCTCTTGCAGTTTTTGCTGTTGGTCAGGGAGCTTTTGCTGTCAAGGCTCGCAGTACCGTGTTTTTTTTTGTCTTCATTGAAACAAGTGACGGAAAAAAAATGAACCTCCGAAAAGGACGCTCTTCGTCGACGGCGGCTTGTGCTGCCCCGGCGTTGAAAATAACAACCAGGGCAGCTACATGTTGGAGACAACTTTTTCTGTGGACGAGCACGACAGTACTACGGCACCAGCTGCAATTCCTGACTAACAACAGCGCCGTCTTTGTCCATACTGCCGTCGAAGCCATCGACACGCAGCGGGTCAGTAAAACAAGTAAAGACATGCAGTCCGACCGCGCAGGAGCCAAGACCAGTAGTAGCAGTAAGGACGATGAAAACTACAAGGCGAAAATTGCAGATGAGAAGAATCAAAATCATCCTTCGGGTCTTCTTCCTGCGGAGCCACCAGCGCAAGGAGCTCCTGGTGCACCATCATCCACAGCACGACAAGCTTCTGCTACTACAACTGCCAGCGATCTTGAACAAGAAGAGCCTTCCTGGACGAGCTTCCTCGCTTTTACCCAGAACGGGCAGAGCAAAACGAAGAAGTTTCTGGAGCGACGAGAAGACCGGGAGCCTGCGTGGACGTTTCAAACCATGATCGACTTGGCTGATACGGTTAGCATCACTCTCGGGTACGCTGGGGATGTTGAGCTCGCAAGCCACAACAACTGCGCGGGTGACGAGGAGGACGACGATGCTGGCACATCAACCGGGTGTGCTGCTGCTACGTCGAAAACGAAATCTGCCACCACTTTTGTGGAACTGGAAAAGCTGAACGCGAATACCGGAGGTGGACAGCATATGGAAGCGTCAGGTTTGAAATCGTCAAAGTTGAAATAATTTGTAATGCATAAAATGCGATGCAAAGAGTGACCCTATTGCAGAGGACCCAAGGGAGGCAGATTATAGTCTTGGCAAGGGTCAAAAGTTGGACTGCTAACTAGCAAGACAGAAGGCAGCTCTTTTGCCGTAAACCGCATGACAGACTCGCTTCCAGGACCGGGAAAATTTGCCATGCACCGACTACAGACTGCAGGTCTAACTGGTATCCGTTTTATGCATGACAAACTATTTCAACTTTGACGATTTCAAACCTGACACATCCAGCATACAGCAGCAGGGACAGCAGCAGGGACAGCAGCAGCAGCAGCAGCAGCAGATGACGGCTTCGCAGGATCTCCAGGCCACCTCTAACGCAGCTTACGAAATGGAAATCTTGCAAAAGATTCGCACTAAGTACTAGTAGTTGTCATTGCAACAAGTACACAAAAGATCGAGATTAGCTCAGCGTGACAAGTTGTGCATCAAGTAGTGGGTGGATTTGTCATGCTGATTTAGCTTTGAAAGCGAAACAAGGAGATTTGTCTTGCACGCCTGCGATTTTTAGAACGAGTGCGAAGATGCTTTTGCGCAGCATACCGCTTGGAAGCAGGCGAAAGCCAACATGGCAAACGACGTGGGCACAGCAGTGGACATGACCGCAATATCCAACAAAAAAACTGTGTAGGTGTAACTTTGTGTTGCAGACGATGCAAGACAAGTACACCTCCTGTCTTGTTGGACATGCGTCAGAGGCTCTTACTTTCGTACGTGTTTACACGTACGTGTTTAATACACGTTGTACTAGCTGCGCATGACAGGTGGTTTTCTATGTCATGCCGAGCAAACTTGTGATGCTATCCTCCAAGAAAGTTACACAACTTACGCAGTTTTTTTCTTGCATACGCGAAAGGATGCGCTTGTGCTATGGTGTGCACGATCGTTTTTTTGGGCTGCGCCGGGGTGATCTATGGATTGCAAAAGTGTCTGGGTCTGGAAACTTGTGATGCTGAGTGGCGAATCATGAGGATGCCACAAGTGACGGCTCAGCATGACAAGTTTCGGACTTGCTACGTGTTGTCTATTCAGAATGACAAACTGCGTTTTCGCATGACAGAAAATTGGAGCTCGAGCTTCAGCTTTTGGATAACGTGCATGACAGACTTGAAAGTCATGCTCGCTGAGTATGACAAACTTCCTCGCTTCCAGACCCAGACATATTTGCAATTGATATGATCGTGCTTGGAATCATCTTCTACATCATCGTGCGGTGCTGGATATCCTGTGCAAAAGTATCGTATTCGTATTGCAATCATGCATTACAAATCTTTTTCCCGAGGTAAATCCGCATTGCAAATTTTATTTCTCATGCTGGGGAGATTTGTATATGCATTTATAGTTTATACGAGTATGATACTTTTGCAGTTCATACTGGGACTCCAGCGACGCCAAAAAGCAGGCCGCGACAGCAGCTACAACAACTCCGGGCCCCGGCGGACTGACTGCAGCGGACCAGAACGCGCTGTTCCGCGCACTTATCAAATGCAAAAATGTCTGTGTCTGTGAGGATGGAATTTGTGATGCGTCCTGTGGGTCTTCACACAAAAATCTGTGTTGCGTGATCGCCAAAAGTTGTCCTTTTTTATACCAACATGAGCGGGAGTTTCTCACGCAGGGTGGGCATGATAGAGACTTCGCAGAATCTGTCATGCTAGGCCCCGCATTCCAGACCTCATGGGGCATGGAAAATATGCGTGACAAGTCTGCACTCTTCCAGACCCAGACGCTTTTGCATTTGATAGCACGTGAGCAGGAGCGGGTGCAGGGGGCGGAGGACTACGGGGGGACCCAGCAGGAGTCGTGAGCAGGACGACAAGTTGTACTACATCGGAGGTAGTTGATGGTCCACTTCTTCTACATTCGGAGAAGGAGGAGCAGCAGATTTGTTATCTGAAGGAGCACGTCGAACTCCTGTAGCAGTTCCACGGACGTCGACTACACGTTGTCACCACAGGCTGATCATGAATGTACTAGCATAAACTCTAGCTCTACTCCTCGATAGAGTCGAGTCTGTCACCCCGCCGGGGGACTGGGACTCGTCTTCTTCCGGAAACTATTGAGGGTAAAGAGATGCGCCACAACCTCCACGACTACGATGGTGAGTAGCTGCATTTTTACTTTTTATTCCGGACCAAGTTTGTTGACGTGTGTCTTTCATCGCACAAGATTCTATACTATCTCGGTTTGCTGTCGTGCCCCGTGGCTGCAAGCACTGAAGGAGCGCGACCTTTATGAATGATGTCTACTTGTTTATCATTTTCACACGAACACGTATGTACTCTATCGCTTGATGTTAACACTGGAATATTTCAGGTCGAGTTTCCGACCGTTGATGAAGATGAGATCGATCGAATATTTTTGTACAATTTTTGTGGGAGAGCATCGACCTCCAAAATGATGAAAACGATGTGAATATAAAGCGATGCTGCACAAAAATATGTCTCCCGGTCCTACTCGATGTCCAACTCCTTTCACCTACAACCTTCTTCAATCACGTCAAGCACAGTTGTCTCAGTCTCGTCGTCCTGATGCATTGATCTATCATCGCATACTGGCAACACGAGGTGACATATCGGTCGTGATGTCATATGATCGGTGACGAAGTAGAAAGAAATGGCGCCTTCACGTCGTTGAAGATGAAATACTTTCACTCGGCAACTCAGGGTCGTGGTCGTCGTGCTGGGACGACTTGATTCGTTGTCGTGACATTCATGATTGCACTTCAACAGTTTGTCTTCATCGTTCACCCGAAGAAACTGCGCCGTCAGGTGCACTATCCTGCGCAAAAGCATCGCACTCGTAGTTGTAATCCTAATCGCAGTCATGCATTACAAATCTCCATCCCAAGGCAAATCAACATGACAAATTCCATTTCTCATGCTGAGCTAATTTGTCATGCGATTTATACTAGTACGATTATAGTTTTGCAAATGCATATGCACCTGCACCGTCACGTCGATTACTTCCGCTATTTTCCGGATCTCCTTCTCATCCGCTTCCAAAAAGAGATGCAAAAACTCCGCCAGCGGAAGGGAGAGCAGCTTGGTGAAAGGCGTGTCGCCGGCTTTGTTTCTGTTTTTCTGGTCGCCATGGCCTCCGACGGGATGAAGAGCGGGACTTTTAGGACTCGACCGTCCAAGCAGCTGCTGTTTGTAATCTCCGTCCAAACTTGTCCAATTTTCAATCTTCTGGTCGTAATACACTCCCTTGCAACTATCGTCCTTTGTCATCTTCACCCCCGAGTAGTTCTTGTCCTTACACTCTCCCGGCTTGCTGCACCGCTCCTGCGACTGGGGACAGCGCTTCTTCCACCATCTACGGTTCGCACTCCCCGGCATGTGCTCCGCATCGACCACCTCGGCGGTTAGAGGACGACGAACGTAGAGGAAACCCGGGTCGTCGAGCATGAACTGTGTTGGTTGTACTTTATCGGCATCTTCTTTCTGAGCACTTGCTGCAGCATCTGCGGTGTTTTTGTGCTTCAGATACTCCAACTTCGTCAGGCGCAAGGGAAACACCCCGGGCTATCGTATGGAAAAATCCCCCCTCCCCATACTGAAAAGACATACTTCTGAAAATTTGCGATGCTGATTTGCGGACGCAAATCGTCTCTGTATTGCAATAAGGCTAAGCCAGAGACTCCGCCGTGCTTTGCGGGCAATTTGTAATGCTGTATGGCGCGCAGAGGATACGTCTCTCTTGCTAGGCGCCAACACCGAAAGAGCCCAGCTCAGGCTTTGTATCTGCGTGCAGTCCTCTTCTGCAAGACAAAGCCGATCCCTGTACACAAATCCTGCATCACAGATTTCCAATTTGATATGGGGAGGAGGGATTTTTCATTTTGATACGGGCTTCTGCGGAAAGAAGTTCACCGGGGAGGCGTGGGCGAGATAAGGACCGGTCGGGTCGTATCAAATGTAAAAATGTCTGGGTCTGGAAAGTTGGAACTTGTGATGCTAACTTTGGAGTCTAAAAAAATCTGTATTGCATGACCAGCAAGAGGAGCCACATTTGTGCTACGCGAGGAGGGCATTTGTCATGCGGAAATGGCATCAGGAAGCTTTCCAAAAATCTGTGATGCTGGGTCATGCATTACAAGCATCATGGGTCATGCCAGACAAGCATGACAAGCCTTCCATTCTTCCAGACCCAGACATTTTTACATTTGATAGGGTCGTGGTCGTCGTGCTGGGACGACTTGATTCGTTGTCGTGACATCATGATTGCAATCCGCGCTAGCTCTGCTCCTCTACTAACATCGCGTTTAAGGTGAATGAAGATGAAAGGAGGGCGTTTTCAAATCACTAGCGCCAGCGCTACAACACGATGAAAATGGAATCATGAAGCGCTATTGTACATCATGCCACAGATGTTTATGTAGGCATTTTTTGTTGTTGTAAAATGTAACAAAATGCATTGGCACTCGTCGGGATCAAATATCACGGGCGAGAAAGTCACCTTCTAGTGTTGTTTCGGCGAACGCGCACATTTTGTCGACGATGATTTTTCTTCGTTTTTGGTCTCGCTGCTTCATCTACTTTCTTCTGCAGCCGAACCACCTGCGTCAAGATGGACATCCGGTCTTTCTTCTTGTCGGAGCAAGGGCAAAGACAGTCGACCTCGACACATCAACAGATGAACAGCAACTGAAACACGAGGTGGCGCCTGGCGACCTACTAGAAGCTGACCGAATTCGATCTTCGATGGAGAGGAAGACTAGCAACTCTAAAGAGGTGGTCGTCTTGGAGAAAATGAATCTTCCGGTAGATCGTGAGATCGTTTCGGCGCTGCAACATCATGAAGGTGTCAACTCTCAACGAGCCCCTTCGGGCCCGGTAGATGCGGGGGCCGTAAGAACACCCTCTATTGCAGCACATGCACACGACTCTCCCCCGGCGAGCACTTCTTTCCTCTTCTCCGCATCGCAAAACGAGCAAGACCAGGGGAGCAAAAGAACCAGAACGGAGAAATTCCACCTCGAAGAAGAAGAACGTCACAGCCGGGACGATGAAAAGAACGACGATCCCCTGGAGGTGCCTTCATCTTTGCAGGACGCAGTCTCCAAGACCGTCTCTGATGTAGATGTGGTCCGGCCCGTCGGCACCTCGCTCGGCCAATCGATCGCGGCGGGAGCAAAAGAAGATTTGTGGGCTGCCTTCCTCAAGATTTTTCTCAGCTTTTTGGGGGTCGGCATCCTGGCGGGCGCCGTGATCATCGTGCTGGTGTGCTACTTCTGTGGTTGTTCTTGCCCCCGGCGTGAAGATGGTGGTGCATCTTCTTCTTCTAGTGGCACTCACCAAATAAAAAGCGATGTCAAGACCACAACGACTGCTATGGAGCAGGACGCCGTAGTGACCACGCGGGCTCTGCAGCAGCAAGACCAGGATACGGCCGCAGGAGCGGACCACGCGGGGTATGAAGATCAGGGAGCAGCGTACGGATCGATATGACAACCCGTGTGGAGCAGCTGCAGCGTAGTATTGCCAGGGTGTGGAGTAGCTGATGGTCACGGACGCACGCCGCGAAAGTGAGCTGATTTTTGTGGAAGAACAATTGTCGAACTATGAACACTGACACTCCTAAGCTGTTGAAGTCCATCCTTCCACTGACACACCTGAATGGCATCAAATAAACGCCGTCTACTACGGTTGCCCGCGTCGTACAAAAGTTCGCTCGTGGTTTCCATGTCCAAGAATCCCAATGAATGAAAATGAAAATGCATTGATTTCGGTGTCTTGACGTAATCGTGAACCAGATCTCTGAAGATTCTGTAGGAATGAGTCTTCGTCGTTTCGTTCTGCTTCGTAGCACTCACTCAAGGTGACATCCTATTGTTTTCAGAAACAAATTTTAGATTAAGTAGGAAAGGGTCGTCGTGAACGAAAATCGTGTGTCGTATCGATCTTCGTCTGCTAGATCTTCTATGATGACTTCTACTACCGCCCAAACATCGTCAATAATTTTCTTCGCGACATTTTCTCTCGCTACCTATAAATCGTAGTAGTTTGTGAGTTTCACTGGAACAACATTTTTTTGGTTCAAAAACAAAAAAGTATCATGACGACCGGTGCGCTGATTTCTCCCCGCATTGTGGTTGCGGCATCGGAGCCGCGTGCTCCAAACAAGTTTTTGCTTCTGTCGATCACGGCCTTCATTTTTCTCTTCCAGGAATTTACCGCTTTCGCCGGGGCCGTGGAGCAGGATACGTCAGGACAAGATCACCTCCAGGCCGATCGGATGGCACAGGCCAAGGACGATGGAACATCTTCTGATGTTGATGCTCCGGCGGAAATTCTGCCAGCCACGCAGGATGAACTACAAGCGGAAAAGGACAAAGACGATCAAACACAAACAACACCTGTCGTGTCATCCTCCACAGCTTCTTCCTCCGAAGACGTCCCCGCCGGCGCAGCTGCAGTTGATCATACCAAACAAGTTGATCCTTCCTCCAGCAGCTTCCTCTTTTTCAGCTCCCAGAACGGGCTATGCATTGCAAATATGTCTGGGTCTGGAAGAGTACAAACCTGTGACGCGCGTTTCAGATGAAGATGAACACAGAAAAATCTCTCGTGCATAGGCAGCAAAAGCTGCCCGCTTTTTGTCACCAAATAAATGGGGGATTTGTCATGCGGATTCGGCATGGCGGAAGCTTCTCGAGATGACCTGTGATGCTAGAGCTTCGATGCCAGACCTTCTGGTGCGTCATGCAAAAACAGCACGACTCTTCCAGACCCAGACACTTTTGCACTTGATACGGGCAGGAAAAGAGCAAGAAATTTCTCGAGCGCCGGGAAAACGATTATCACAGCAAAAAGTGTGTAACTTTAACAGAATTTGGAATGCAGGAGTGCACGACAAGAAATGATTCCCACATTTGTATTGCCTAGCATGCATCATGATAGCAAAAATTTGTCATGCATGACTGCGAAAATGCCACAAAGCCGTTAAGAACGTTAACATTTTTTTGCTTGATGATAACGATTCGCCGGCTTCCATGTTTCAGCTCGCGCTCGATTTTGCCGGTATGGTGACCGGCGGAGCGGAGGTTGATGCCAGAGGTACAACTACGAGTTCCTCCGGGACCGGGACCAGCAAGACAGCAGCAGCTCCGGTTGATGGTGCCGAAAGTACTTTTGTGCAGGAGCACGAAAAACTGGCTGTCGGGCAGACCGAGAAGCAGGAAGTGAGCAAGGCAGACGGGCAAATGCAAGGGGGCCCTGCTGCTGCACCGGCGCAGCAAGTGCAAGACCCACAGCAACAACAAGTGCAACCCCCAGCAGGAGCTGCACAACAGCAACAGCAACTGCCGGACGGGCAACAGCAGCCGCAGCAAGCAGCCGGGACACCAACGACCCAGACGAGCATCTTCGGAGCCAACGCGAATCAGGCCAAGGACATGGCGGACGGCGTCAATGGGATGGCGCAGCAAAGCATGATCATCTTCTTCGTGCTTTTCGGCGTCGGCGTCGTCGGGATTGCAGTGGCTGGGGTTCTGGTGTACTGCTACTGTTTCCGAGCCACTTCTACGACTTCCGACGGCGATCGCAACTCGGCGCCCGGAGGGCTGAGTGCGGCGGACCAGCACGCCCTGGTTCGGGATCGACAGCAAGGCCTATGGATGTGTCAGAGTTGAAATCTACAAAGTTGAAATAATTTGCCATGCATAAAATGGACGCCAGTTGGGACCCAGTTTCCAACTGGCGCATGACAAATTTCGGTGGTCCCTAAATCCAGTTTGTCATGCTGCTTAGGCAAAGAAGAGCGATTTTCTCATGCTACTTTAGCCGCTCGATCTGTAACCCCAAACAGGCTGACAATCGGCCTCACTTGCCTGCTCTGCAACACACGTACCTCGGGTCATGCATTTTATGCATTACAAATTATTTCAACTTTGACGATTTCAAACCTGACGCTTCCATAAGGCCAGGGGGCAGCGTACTATGACCAGCAACAAGGGGCCGCCGCCGCTTATGGCGGGTTGTACGGCCAGGGAGCAGCGTATGACAGTGCACAACTCCCGCCCCTCGTTTGTCATGCAAAATCCCAAATCCAGTCGCTTCCCTGTGGCAATGTTTGCATGACAAATTTCGAAAGCCCAAACAGTTACATAAATTTGCCATGCACAAGCTCCAGGATCGCTGGCGTTTGTATTGCTGTTCATGCAATACAAATGAGGGGGAGGGGGAGTTGTGCACTGTCATACAGCCTACGGGTACGACCAGGGGGCTGCGGCTGCGTACGGCTACAACCAACAAGCAGCTGCGTACGGTTACAACCAGGGAGCAGCTGCGTACGGGTACGGAGCGGCGCAGTGAACTTCGTTCAGAAGTAGTTCACCGAGACCAAATCGTGCAGTTTGGACGAGGAATTCGTAACAAATCTCAAAAGTGCATGCTAGATTTCCGCATTTCTATTTCGTTTGACTCAACGTTTTTTACATTTTACATTACATTGACGGTTCTGTTCCAATTGTTTCAGTGCATGATTTACACTCAGTTGATTTCCACTTTTCAGATGTACAATTTAAGTTGAACGGTACTTTTACTCGCAACATCTACATCGTTTTCAAGCTGGATGCAAAACACGACTACACACAGCAGCGATTATTCGTGCAAGAGTAAACGGGAAATAGCGACCATATCGACAACTAAATCGGAGAAAATTTTATACGCTTCTGGCTTTATTTTCGATTCCGCTTTGGTTTCCAACCGGAACCCCTTTTGTCGTTTTCCTCCCTCGTGGCCACACCCTGCTCGCCTTTCTCGTCAAGTCGTGCCGACGGTGCCTTGGGACGATCATCATCTCAGTTTTCATCGGTGAAAATGAACCAAACGTTTGTCCGTCGTTCTTTCCATCTTGCATTCTTCATCTCTCGTGGGGCAAGGAAGGGCCGAGTCGTCATTCGTAGTCGTAGGGATCAATCGACTTGTACCGTAGCGATAGGAGGTATGATGATCGTGAAAAGCTTCGGCGTCTTCATTATATTCGTAGTCGTATCTCGTGCGACTTCTGCGATGTGTAGTTAATCAAATTCTCCACTGAAGACGAAGTACGAATTACCGAGCAGGCAAGGTACGGTTCTAATATGACTTCGTTCGGTTTGAGTTTATGCAACTGCCTGGCTGCTTTGACGTTGTCTTTCTACAGTATGAATAGCACTCACAGATGGAAAGGATTTTTTTTCATCGTTGTTCAAGAACATCAAGAAAACGCAAAATAATAAGCATGGCAATCACGACCACCTGCATTTGAACCCGTTTCAGTGCAGCCTCCCCCTCCGATAAAGCGCGCGTGGTGATGAACAAGATGCCGGAACGACTTCAACAGCTCTCGAAGATCCTCATGTTGATTCGACTAACTGCCTTCACTTTTCTGCATCTTCGGCAGGAGGGGCTTGTTGCTTTTGTCGAAGCCATCGACGTGAAGACTGTTGTTGACAGAACGTCTTCACGACGAGAAAACCTGTTGCAGGATGATCGGAAGGCGAAGAACCTCGAAGCCGGCAGTGCACATCATGAATTTGGTAAAGACGATAATGATGAAGCGCCTGGCCCTGCTGCCGTGTCATGTGCAACTTCTTCTTCCTCGTGCAAAAAGAACTCGCCAGAACATCAAGTGCAGCTTGCTGATCATGCTGAACAAGTCTCCTCTTCGAGCTCCTTCCTCTTCTTCGCCTCCCAAAACGGGCAGACCAAAAGCAAAAAATTCCTGCAGCGCCGGGAAAACGTATGACAGTGCACAACTCCCCTTCCCCCTCATTTACGTTTGTATAGCATAAACGGCAATGCAAGCATCTGCAAGAGTGCCGGCTTTGCATGACAAATTTACACTGGAGTGTAGTGCTTTTTGGCCTACCAGAAATTGTCATGCAAACAGTGCCAAGAGGCACAGCCTGGATTTGGGATCATTTTGCATGACAAATGAGGGCAGTGCATTGTGCACCCCTCGGACCCCGCACCCCCCCGGGCTTTAGCTGCGCAGTCTGTTAAGCATGACAAATGAGGGGGAGGGGGAGTTGTGCACTGTCATAAAACGATGAGCCTGCGTCGATGTTCCAGTACGCACTGGATTTCGCTGGGGCGGTTGGGGATGTATTTGGTACGACGGGAGAGCAGGGCCAGGGGGCCGACGTGATTGAAGCGGGCCAAGCGGACATCAAAACGACGAGCAATGGCTTCTTACTGAACGAGGAACATCAAAACGTCGAAAACCACAACAAACAGAATGAAATCTCGGAACAAGATTCATCTGCTAGCGCGGATGACAAGTCGACCATGTTTCTGGAAGTCGACGTCGCAAGAAAGATGACGAAGCAGAAAAAGAACAAGAAGAAGGCCATGCCCGCCGCCGGTGGTGGAGGAGCTGGAACAACTTCAACTCCTGCTCAGCAACAACAAAATGGTGATCAAGGCAACAACCCCCAACAACAGCAGAACAATGACCCGAAAAAGCGGAACGAGCTGGAGGACAGGGTTGTCGAGTCGTATGGAAGCGTCAGGTTTGAAATCGTTAAAGTTGAAATAATTTGTAATGCATAAAATGCGACACAAAAAGTAACTCTATTGCAGAGGACCAACAGGAGGCAGATTATAGTCCTGGTAAGGGTCAAAAGTTGGACTGCTAACTAGCATGACAGAAGGCAGCTCTTTTGCCCTAAACCGCATGACAGACTCGCTTCCAGGACCGGGAAAATTTGTCATGCGCCGACTACAAACTGTAGGCCTAACTCATATCCGTTTTATGCATGACAAACTATTTCAACTTTGACGATTTCAAACCTGACACATCCATAAGTCGATTTCCGACGGTATGACTGGGAGTGCGATCGCCGGCGTCGTCCTTCTCGTTTTCGCGGGGATTATGGGGTGCGCCTTGATCCTCATGGTGGCCTACTGCGTGTACAGGGGCTGCGGCTACCTATCCATTTTTGTAATTCACATGTCTGGGTCTGGAAAGAATTATCCGAGTTTGATGTCAACATCGTAGGTCCAATTATCGACTACGACTTCGAAACAAAAATAAAATGTGTATTGCATGACCTGCTGCATCAAAACATCAAAAGTCCGCACTTTTGCTTACCCGAACAAAAGGACGACATTTCTCATGCAGAATAGGCATAAAGAAGAACGCAGGAGCTTCTGAACTACAAAACTTGTTATGCTTCTAGCGCCCGCATTCATCTAAACGAGCCTCTTGTTCATGCGAAACCTGCGTGTCAGATCTTGCAATCTTCCAGACCCAGACCTATGATTTGCACTGGATACTACAACTGGCCCAGCGATTCCGAAAACGCTACCCTGGTTGCCGTATGCAGTGCAAAAGTATTGTACTCGTAGTATTGCAATACAAATTCGCTCAGCATGACACATGGAATTTCTCGTGCTGATTTAGCTTGGACAAGAAATTTGTCTTGCATGACTGCGATTAGTACGAGTGCGATACTTTTGCACAGGATAGGCCGCGCCGGGAAATCATGTCGCCGGAGAGGGCAGTATCCACAGTAAAATTCCCGTACACGACGTACAAATGTGGGTTCCACGTGACAAACTTTTCCTTCAAGCCCCTTCAGCATGACAAGTAACTTCTTCTAAAACTTTGTGATGCATATTGTATGTACATGTGCGGCGGGAAATTTGTATTGCATAGACAGTGCGGCGACGCACGACCAGGGCGACGCGCTCAGTTTATCCTGTGCAAAAGTATCGTACTCGTATTGCAATCATGCATTGCAAATCTTTTTCTCAACAAGGTAAATTCGCATTACAAATTTTATTTCTCATGCTGAGGAAATTTGTAAATGCATTTATACGAATACGATACTTTTGCAGTTCATACAGTTTCCAAGATGACCACATTCAGGCACACGGACAGCATAAGTAAGACTATCAAATGTAAAAATGTCTGGGTCTGGAAGATTATAACTTGTCATGCTAAATCTGAATGATGCGAAAATCTGTGTTGCGTGAGTGCCAAAACCTGTCCGCTTTTCACCAAGTTGAGAGGGAGTTTCTCACGCAGGAAAGCTATGATAGAGACCTCAGAGAATCTGTCATGCTGGGTCTCGCATTCCAGACCTCATGCTCATGGGTCATGGAAAACCTGCATCACAAATCTTGCATTCTTCCAGACCCAGACATTTTTGCATTTGATAAAGACGAGGCTTCGGCGATTTGGTTCTGGAAGCACCAAAGGGGGGTAAAGGCAAGCCTGAAGATGTTTTGAAAAAATCAGCGTGATGAATATGAAGTATTAGTATTGCAGAACGGTACTGAATTTCCACGAGAACGAGGAGCTCGAACACAAGAGTTGTACCGATACGATTGCAGACCATTTCTAATTTTCTTATGTACACAGATGTTGTTGTGCTTGTACAGCACGCTTGTATGTTACAGACAACAAAACTTTAACTTTTGTATTTGTTCGCAACAAATTATGATTATCGGGACCGCACCTGCAGAACGATTGTAGAGCTTTGTACGATTTGAGGACTTGAAAGTAAAAATTAAACCTCCAACCAACATCACACAGCAAGAGTCGAAAGCGTTCGACTCGCGGCAAGATGAAAACAGCTGCAATACTACTGGGATGCCTGTGGTACTCCTGCAGTCGCTTGTTGATGTTGATGTTGATGTTGGTCTACTGTCGCAGACAAGATCGTGGTCGTTGAAGAATGTTGAAATCGCTACTCTTTCGTCTCGTCTGGAATACAAGAAATATGTTGCACATAGACATGGTTTTCTAGTTCTAGTAGTGTGACTCGTCGTGAGCAGCAGGTCGTTCAGGGTCGTCGTATTCAGTATTCTATCTACAAATCGTCTTGAGGTCGTCAACATTTCGGAGAAAAAACTACCAATTCGCCGCCTATCGTGCTTCTCGAAATGTTGGAAATTTTGACGTCATCAACTTCAACACAAGACCAAGAGACACAACTTCAACTCTAGGAAGTTTCATACAATCGTGCTTGTTGAATATTTCTTGAATTATCGCCCTTCATCGTCTCGCTTCTGTAGGCATGAACATGATGAAATTTGAATATGTTGAACCGGACGCGCCAGCATCGATTTCTTGTCACCAACTATAGCTAATTGGCTGATAAAAGACGCTGATGGAAGCTGATTGGTTTTTTGAAAGTTGAGCGCAAAATTATGTTGTGGGGAGGTGTTTTTTTCAGACAATAATTTTGCGGAAAACGATCAAGATGAGGATGGAAATGCAGGGCCTGCTTCGAGGTCGTCGTGGACCTGCTCCGTCTTCCGCTTCTTCACGACTTTTCCGGAGACTGATTCTCGTAGCCGCATCACAGCAAGAACTCTTGTTCTTCCACCTCCTTTTTCATGATCATCACCGGTGTTGTACTCTTGTCGCCGCCGTCGATACACAACAGCTACAGCAATCCGACCGGAAGATAGTACACAGACACAGTACTAAAGATCACGTGGACCACGACGACGAACAAGATCCAGAAGCAGTTCTGGTGCAGCCGGGCGGAACCACCACAGTCCGGCCAGTGGATGCAGAAGGAAATAAAGCTCAACATGGCAACAAGGAAGCATCAAAAGACCTGTCGCTTTCGGCCGCGGCGGACTATTCTTCCGACGAGAGTGCAGCAGGCGGGAACAGTGCAAGCCCGAGTCACAGCGAGGATGAATTGCATCACCACCTCCAGCCTTCACATTTTGAACTCACGAACACGGGCGAACAAGCCGCCTCTGCAGCAGAAATGTCTAGCATGTCATCCCCAACGACAAAAACCGCGGCGTCTTCCTTCCTCGACTTGAACGCACGGAAAAAGGAGCGGAAGAACCGGAAGAAATTCATGGCGCAGCGGGAGGGTGCGGAGACGGCCTTCTTGTTTCAGTACGTGTTGGACTTTACCGGGGCAGTGCAGGAGACTCTGAACAACATCGATTTATTGACTGATTTCCTGCCGCATGAGGTTGACCATGAGGGGCAGGGACAGCTGCACACGGAGCCCAGGAGTACAACCATAGTCGGAACAGCAAACAAGAACACCGCAGGGGAACAGATAAGCGGATCCTTCGTGGAGGAACAAGCGCTGCGACGCGGGACCACTTCCCGGAAAAGTTTGACCACTACGAAGACCATATCAAATGCAAAAATGTCTGGGTCTGGGAAGTTGTGATGCTGGGTGGCGTCTCATGATGAGGCTACAAATGCTGGCTCAGCATGACAAGTTTCTGAGCTCCTAGGTGTTGCCTATTCTGCATGACAAACTGCGCTTCTGCATCACAGAAACAAAAGCGGAGCTCTTGGGTAACGTGCATGACAGATTTAAGAGTCATGCCAGACAAGCATGACAAACATGAATTCTTCCAGACCCAGACACTTTTACAGTTGATAGACCACGAGCAACGATCCCGATGCGGATCCGGAGCAAGCCACGGGGAAGAAGAAAAAGAAGATCGCACTCTGGGTGTGGATCACGATTGCCGCTGTTGGAGTCGTATGCTCTGCAAAAGTATCGTGCTTACTAGTTGTACAAATCGCAATACAAGTTGGCTCAGCATTACAAATTGAATTTGTAATGCGGATTTACCTCAACAACGTAGATTTCTAATGCGGATTTACGATTACAACTACGAGTGCGATACTTTTGCACAGGACAAGTTGCGCTGCTGGTCGGTGGGTTTTTCATCATCTACTGCTGCTGTTGCTGGGGAACGCCGGAAGAAGTGACTGATGCGGTGGCTAATACTAATCTTCCATCTCCTACTGGCGCCACTTCTGGAGGTGGTGCAGCAGCATCTTCCCGTCCTAGCGCTGCTCGTGCTACTGCTGCTGGTTCTAGCACAAGTACTGGTGGTCGTACTGCCACAACGGCGACTGCGGCTTCGGCCGGGGACGAGGAAGTTACGTCGACCGAGTGCTGTTCTTGCTGTCCGTGCTGGGGCAGAAGCAAGGAACTGACAGAGGATATCAAAATGAAAAATCCCCCCTCCCCATATCAAAAGGCAAATCTGTGATGCTGTATTTGCGTACGCAAATCAGTCTTGTCTTGCAGTAGCGCACTGCAGGCAGATACAAAGCCCGGAAAGGAGCGGCCTGCGGTAGGCACTTAGCATGGCAGACGTCTGCCCCATTGGCGCAGCAGCATTACAAATCGCCTGCGAAATGCGGCGGAAGCTCTGGCTTTGCTCTTTTGCAACACAGACTCGATTTGTGGCCACAAATCAGCATCGCAAATTTTGAAAAGTACGCTTTTTCGATATGGGGAGGGGGGATTTTTCCTCATAATAAAGGAAGAACAAAAACTCCTCGCAAACGGCGATGGACGACAGAAGGGGGGCATGGAAAAACTCAGCAAGTTCCGGAAAGCGGCGACAGCGATCAAACAGGAGAAAAAAAACGCGTTGAAGCACGGAAAGCAGGCAGACGGCACCACGCCAGTTGTGAAAAAGAAGGAATACGTGACGAACGAAGAGCCACCGCCTTCCCCCCTCGATCACGGAAAAGCTTCCTCGAGAACCCCGAGCGCCTCGCCCCGTGGTCGCGCAGCGAAGAACCAAGCACCGGTACCCGGAGCCGGCACCCGCTACACGTACAATCCGGCTGCGGACAAGAATAAACAGGCCGCGTTTATGGAGGGAACTTTCGGGGGGGAAGCATCCTCCGCCTTCGCGTCGTCCGTCGTGGACGTCATGAATACCGCCGTGCTATCCAAGACAAAAACGTTGTTAGTAGTGTAAATTTGTGATGCGCAACATTCAAGCTGATTGCGTCTGTCATGCTTGGCATGCGTCGTCGGGTTCATTCAAGGGCGTTTTCACGTAGTATCTGCGCATCATGACAGGTTTTTGCTGTCATGCGAGATGAGATATTTGTCATGCTAATCCTCCAACAAGAAAGTTACACCTACGTACAATTTTTTTTTTCTTGGACACGTGCCCCGAAACCAGGACGAGAAGACGAAGTTTTTCAAGTACGCGCAGCAGCACGCGTATGCAGAGAGAACATTTAACTTACCGTGCACGACGTGTACGAATACTGGCACTTCTCCTGCATGAGGACGAAACTCCCACGAGCTGCTGAAACTGAAACTTATTCAGCATGACGACGATTATTTCTGATTATGACAAGTGCAAGTCTCATGTGTAGTCGCTCGTGCTGCAGGTTGGGCAAAAATTTGTCAAGCAAAAGCAATTCGTACACGACGAGCGGGAGCGGTAGGTTATTTGTATTGCATAGCGCGTATGCAACCTTGAAGAAAGCGGGGTTCCGGGAACCCTACCTGCGCAGGCTTTCCACGGCGGTGGAGAGTACAGCCTACCTATCCACAGTAAATTTCCCGTACACGTAAAGAGCACTCGTTGATTTCCGCAAGACAAAGCTTGCCTTGGATCACTATTCAGCATGACAAGTACAACTGGCGCATCAGTGTAAGAAATAGGCCAAATTTGTCATGCATTTCGTACATGTGTCAGTGTGTGTCTCGGAAATTATTTGTATTCCATACTACAGCAAGCGGGACTACGTGCCGGAGTACGTATCAAATGCAAAAATGTCTGGGTCTGCAAGGTTGCAACTTGTGATGCTGTCTCCGGATTCGGAAAAAATCTGTATTGCATGACCAGCAAGAGGAGTCCGGTTTGGTCTACACGGAGAGGGCATGTCTCATGCAGTAGAGGCATCACAAAGTCCTCCAAAAATCTGTGATGCTAGGGCATGCATCACAAACATCGTGGGTCATTCCAAATATGCATGACAAACTTGGCAATCTTCTACCAGACCCAGACGCTTTTGCATTTGATAGTACGATCTTGATGCCCATACCCTGACGGTTTACCGGGACCTCGGTCTTGGACAGGGCAACGCAACTGTCGGCATGGTGCGCGATTACTGCATTGAGCAGTGGGTGAAGAAACTCAAACCGAAGAAGAAGGCCGTGGCAAAGCCGAGCCCACGACCGCAACAACTTATCCTGTGCAAAAGTATCGTACTCGTATTGCAATCATGCATTACAAATCCTTTTCTTAAGGTAAATCAGCATTGCAGATTTTATTTCTCACGCTGAGGAAACTTGTAATGCATTTATACGAGTACGATACTTTTGCAATGCATACAACTGTCTCCGCACGCATCCTTCGGCGGGGGAGCAGTGCATGATCTTCATAGGTGAGGAAGATCGCATCGATGCGAATTTCGATAAATTAAAAAAGACGATACTCATACTGAACATGATGATCGGTAAGAAAATGAATTTGAGGCAGAGAAACGAGTAGAGATGAAGTAAATTTACTATCTTCTTCATCACAGCAACGAAAAGCAAATTCCAATGAATCGCAATCGCCTGTGCGATACTAGTACCAATTTTGTTGTGCAATTCAGTTTGAAAATTTGACTTGAAATTTATGCGTTGGTTTCGTTTTGACTCAGTTAACAAGTGCAAGATGACTTACTAGACAATTGGCCACGTTTAGGCACTGGAGAATGTTGTATCTATTTGTTTTTGTACCATTTTGGCTCAAGTGCCTTCGTTGCAATAAACTACGCAATGTTGACTCGTAAGTGCTGTATCGGATTATAAGTACGGCTCAAGTGCAGTAGAAAGTAGGTAGAGCCTCAGCGCCCCGTGCGTCATCTGTGTGCGCATTCCATCCAGAAATATGGTCCCTGTCGGCGATTTCCCTCTCCACAGCGCCGGCAGTACTTCGTCTTCTTTTGACGGGCTCTCAACATCTTGTTCTCTGGATGGGTTCACATCTTCTCTTCCACGGCCACGATCGCACAGGGTGGGAGAACGAAAGTTAGCAGGTCACGTCTAGCCTAAGCACAAGCAAACTAGACCACGACCGAAAAACGAAAAAGCGGAAAACGGGAGCGCGGAAGCTGGAGAATGAGGAAAAGATATACATCTGGACCAGGAGCTGCTGAGATGTCGATAGATCCTGATATTGATTTTCTCAGATAGAGATTCCAGATCTATCCCTGTCTTTTCTCGATTCAAGGTACAGATCCATACATATTAGAATTCCCCACGCTCCAGTGCAGCCGCGTATTGGAAGAATCTCAGATCTTTTTGCGCCGCTAAAGTTCGTGTCTTGCATTCGTAGACGCCAACTTTGTAGAACGAGACGAAGGTCCGGCCAGAGCCATCCGAGAGAAGGTGTTAGCATGACAAATATGCTACCACCTTGAAGCGCCTGATCGTGACAAAGACGGGAGGTGAGCTCTGCCTCAAGCTGCTCCAGGGCGGAGGCAGCGCAGTGTCTACAGAGTTAAGGGACAAGCACCTAACACATATGGTGCCCAATATGACCCTAAACTTGCCCAAGCCCCGGACCGTCCCAGAGTAGACAGCCGCACCACAGAGGGTAAGCTTGTGAGCAGACGGAGCGCACCCGGCCGCGGCTCGAAGAGAAGAAGCTGCAACAGTGTACCTCAGTGCCCGCAACTCGAAGAGTGGTAGTTGCAACATGGCGCGTCTGGTACAAGGAACAGGAGCGAATGCTGGCCGAGTAGGTGTTTCTCCTGAGAGCGGTGCCTCCCTGCTCGTTTCCTCCGGGTGGTCTGCGACATCATGTTCCACCTGAGTAGCAGTGTGTATAGCTAAAAAACAGGTGTGAAGGATCCTCCTCCTCCTCTATTTGTTTTTGTACCATATTGAATTCAGTACAACAGAACCAGAACGAAGGTGAGGCGGACTTTGTCAAGAAGGACGAGCACACGCTTTTTTATCGTGCACTAGTTCGAGTTTCATGTTTGTTGTGATCGGTCCTGTTTTGATTTTGAAAAGTCTGGTATTGGTGCAGGAGAACCCGAAAGGGAAAACCACGTGTACAATCCAGCAATTTCGTAGTACTCATTCGTATTTGTTGCCCGAGTCGTGTCTGTGAAGAAAGCAGAATGGGCCAGAAATTATAGACGTCGTTGTGCTAGCTGGGGTCGTTCTCGTGCTGCTAACAATGCAATTCGACGTATACTATAGTAGTAAGGTCGTGTCGGTGTCGCTCGTCTCTTGCAGATTCGTGATTGTGAGTAGTTGCAGGTGTCTACCATTGATCTTTCCTAGAGCTGCACTACTAGTAGGTACCTAGTAGAAGGCTCTCGTCGTCGTCTTTCTTGCAACGATGACGTCGATGTGATGTCGTTGTTTTATTTCCTTTCACAAGAATTTGGAAGACAGGCCGAGCACTGGCTGTTTTTTCAAAGTTAAGATTTCATATTGCTTTCGACCAAAGAAAGAACGGAGCTCGTCTTCAAAAAATACAATGACAATCATGAAGTCCCCAACAGGAGCACTTCTTCTACCCCTACCAGCCACGCTGCTGCTGCTCATCAGCCACCTCGAGCACACCGCGCTTTCCATCTCCGTTGTGAACCAGCAGTCTGACCGGAAAGTTGAGAAAAAGAAAAAGCTAACGCTGGTAGGTCCCAACGTCGCTCAGAATAAAGCCGCACAGGGGAAAACATCTTCCTCTAGTACTCCTTCCAGTGGTGCCGATGTTGTCCAAGATGAAAAAGCTGCAGATCATGGCCATGCCCCCACCGGAGCAGGCGCTTTTCTGCATCTCAATCAGAAGAACACGGAAAGTAGTAAGAGCAGCCAAACATCAGCAGCTGCTGCAGCCGCAGCCAGCAAAGCCAAGGCTGTCGCACAGCAGGAGAAACAGAAACATCAAGAATCTCCGACCAGCAAAAACCGCGGAGGTACACGCGACAAAATCAAAAAGCAACAACACGCGAAGAATGATGACAAATCGAGATCCGCTGAAAATAACAAACGAAACCAAGACGAGACCGGGACCTGGTGCTTGCTTTTGGTGCTAGTGCTCGCGATCGTTTTTGCTGCGGTGGGTGGTGTTATTTATTCGACCATGAAAAAGGAGCGCGATGCAGAGGCCGCGATGCCATTCACGGTCCATCGGGATGCAAAAGGAATGATGCCCTCGATTCCGACGTCAGGGCGCAGAAAACTGCTGAACAATCGGGCGAAACCGGAACCGTCTGAGGCGGGTCCCGAATCCGAAGCCTCCCCGGACGCGGGAACAACGAGTGAAACGAGTAGTAAATCAAAATCCTCGTCGCAAACTCCGAAAGAAGATGGCGGTACTGGTCATCACCGGGGTCATCATCACCGCGACAAAACAAGCAAGGGTGAAGCTGTTCACGTCCCGGGGGTGATTGTGACGCGCGAGTGGTACGAACGAATCGTCCCGGACTCGCAAGATCACTCCGCCTTTGCTGGCTACGCGAAAGACCACGCCTACGAGACGCTGAAAAACATGGGCTTCAAGGAACCCTTCCTCGGCAAACTGGCACTGTACGTACAGTCGAACCGAACGCACGGATATTCCCAGAAAAAAAACCCTTTCCGATCCATTTTTTGCATGACAAACACTGGACTTTGTGCATGTTTTGCGTGACAAGGTAGATGGGGATGGATTTTTTTCTGTGGATAACGGAAAGAAGGACTACGTCCCCGACTACAACCACCACGACAACTCGGAGGCGCCGGGCCTGTTCAAAAAGATGGGCATGAAAACCAACCCGACGGTGGGGCAAGTACGGGCGTGGTGCTGCGCCGAATGGTGGAGCGCAGAGACCAAGAGGCAAAAAGAACAGAAGAAGGAGAAGAAGGACAAGCTTGTGGAGGCGCAGCAAGAATTATCCCCGGAAAAAAAACGAGAAAAAGAAAAAAAGGAACAAGAAAAGAAGGACGAGAAAAACAAGGCAAAGGAGGAGATCAGAGAGAAGATCAAACAAGAAAAAAATCGGACTTAAGTAGCATCCATGACTACTTGTCGTCAGCAATGTTGTTCTTCCTTTACCGCAGTTTATGCTGTGGCGAAAGGAAACCGAAACAGTAGTTGTGAATGTTGTTATTGACCACGTTATTCAAAATGAAAATCAAAAGAGCATCGCCACAACAGAAATCTTCGCAGCTGTACAATAATTTAATTGGGGTGATGTCTCTACTGGTGTGCATTGTTGCAGTTTATAAATGTTGTTGAAAGCTGCAGCTTCTTCTTATCGACAGTATCCACTCTGATTAAGCATTCATTCGGACCTAGATTTGATTGTACAGAAAGAAGATATCCTCGCAAGCGAAAGTACTTACCCGGCACATGATCAGTGTGCGTTGGCTGCTCCGTCTGCTTGTCGATTCGTGTTCCTTCATCAATAAGCTGCCAAGACAAATTTCTACTTCGTTCAAGATCATTTCATACGACATCTACTTCGTCTTTCCTCTCTGTCGTGGTCGTGGCAACAAAAAGAACAAAGAACAAGCGCAACATGATCTTCGTATGGTATAGCGCCGCCCTCGGGCTTTCGTATTCTATACGATCATCTACTTGATCGTGTTCGTTGCAGCTGGGGTCTTCTTCACTCGGTAATAAAATCGGTCGCCATGATGTTAATATCTCATCGTGGGAGGGCATCGTGATGCGTTGTGGTTAACAAAGAGTCGTGGCATCTTTTTCGTCACGTGCTAAATATGAGGAATATCAATATTCAAATACTGAGTACCTAAGATACGTCAAGTTGTTGTTACTACTTCCCTGCACAGGATCATTCGTGTCTGCAGGTACAACCACTTCTAGATTGATTTGGATTTCGCCATTAGACCAGGAGAAATAGACCACTTGCAAAATGAGCCCGGGTTTTTCTTGAAATTTCCTATCACCAGTGCCGTATTTAATGTTAATAGGAGCGACTGCTCATCTTCGCAAAAGAAAAAACAGAATGATGCTGCTGAAGACGTGCTGTCCTGCTTGCGGTCACGTCTCTGTTTCCACATTGATCCCGCTGCTCCTCCTGACTTTCCTTTCACTCGTCGACAGAGCGACTGCATTCACAGTCAAGCTGGAGTCCGAGCGGAAAACACATCAGTTGCGTCTCTCCGTACAGCGAGGTGGGCCGCTGCAACGGGGTGGTTTTAGTACGACAAAAGAACAAGCAGCTCCTACGGCAACGGCACACCAAGGATCAAGTTCATCAAGAGCTACTTCTTCGCCTAGTAGAACAAACGAGTTTCGCCGTTTGTTCTTCCAGCCAAAGCAGGCAACAGTGCCTCGACCGCAAGAAGAAGATGACGTGGTTGATCCTGCTGTGGCTGTCCAAGAACTCGAGGAACCAAAAGCTGCGAGAACAACCTCGCGACCGGCGGTCGTTGAGCAGGGAGCTGGTGGTCCAGATGATTTTGACCAAACCTCTGTCCTCCAGAGGACAAGCCCGCGAGTTGACGACGACATCGTCGAAACAAGAAGTAGTGAGCAAATCACATCAACCGCTTTGCTCGAATTGGAAAGAAGAACAGGCACTAACTCTCACGCGAAGCAGGAGCAGCAGCAGCATCAGGGGTCGCATTCTAGTAAAAAAGACGATGCTGGTGAGCAGATCTCCTTCTCCGGAGAGGATGGCGACGAGCAGCGGGGTGGAGGCACCGGCGACGAACAGCGGGGACGTGGCACCGGCGACGAGCAGCAGGGCGGCGATGGCGATCCTGGATCATTTTCAGGCGGAACGCCCGGATCATCTGGCCCTGGAGACGGAGAAGCTGGAGCCTCTACTCCGGGACCATCTCCATCTCCGCTTCCACACGGACCGAGCCAGGTGTTCGCGCCTGCTGCTCCTGCACCATCGCCGGGGGAGAGTACGCGTACGCCGCCGCTAATGGACGGCAACATTGCGCAGCAGGTTCCTCAAGGAGCCGAGGCAACTACGACCACGGCGACCTCGACGAAGTTTCCTGCTGACCATCCCTTCTCCGACACGGATCTCATGCCTCTTTCCTGCGAGAAATCGGACTGGACCACACAAGGGTATACACAGAAAATCGAAAATAATTTTATTTCCGTACAAGAACATGAACAGTTGCGGTTTCTGCATGACAAGACCAGCCACTTCCGTCCTGTAGTTCAGAATGTTGACAAGTGGCACAGGAGAACTCTACTCACGTTCATCTTGAAAAATAAATTTGTGATGCGTGGTTTTACACAACATGTAGTATGGGAATGAGAAACTGTTTCCATTGCATAAAGAGGAAAACGAAGACACCGACTTTCTTTTCGGAGATCTCTGTGCGATTGATCTGACGCCGGGAAGAAATACTCCGACGGAAGCGGAACTGAAAGAAATTCCAGTAGACACGATCACCGGACACAGACCAACGGAGGACGAAAAAACGAAATACGCAAAACAGTGCTCCGACCTACTGGGAAAAGCGAACCAATTGCGCACGGAGTTCGAAACGGTTTCAGCACTGGACAACATCCCGGTGAACCAAATGGAGTTCGACGGCCCGGAGCAAGTGTTCATGCGAAACTACTTTTACCCAGTCGACGTTTCTAGCAGCTTCGTTGCGAACTTGAATTCCGGACAGGGAATCGTGAAGCCAAATAACGAGAACTTCATGTGGATGTGCAAATTTATCTGCGACAAGATGGACGATTGCAACGTTTTCACGTACGTTAGCACGCAGGCAGACGAGGGCAAAGATCAGTCGAACGGCTTGAAGTACTACTGTTGGCCGAAGGGAAGCACCACCAGCGGCCCGCTACGACCGCAAGACACCTTCTACCCGCGGTACGGGTGGTATTCGAGCCTTTGCAAAACCAGGTACGACCCCAATTACGTGCGACCGATCGGTGGGGAGAGTTGCAGCAACGAGCTTCTTGGGCGGAAGGGCAGGATGACCGACGAGTGCGTACGAAATGAGTGCGTGGAACGCGTTCAGCAATTTAGTAATGGAGAATCCAGCTACACAAACAACCTCGCAGTGTACCCGGTGAGTGCGAATGATCCGGAAAGTTACGATCACGAAGTCACGAGGGTAACGACGTGTTGTTACAGGGATGTTAGTGTCCAATGCAAAAGTATCTTCGTACTTGTGTATTAAGTGCGAGCCTTGCATTACAGGTCTGCTTTCCTACGTGAATCTGCATGACCAAAAACTTCATTTTCATCTTAATTTTTCTAGGAAAAACTTGTCATGCGTTTGTTTTATGCTAAATTACGATACTTTTGCAATCCATAGACACTAAGCCTGACACCTGTCCAACCAGTTCGACCACGGTTGCGCCAGGAGGAATCACGATGGACCCAGCAGCTGGGAAACTCAAGCCTTTTACACCGAACAGCAATTTAACGGCCCAGGGCGGGGGCGAGGCGGGTGAACAAAATACTATCAAATGTAAAAATGTCTGGGTCTGGAAAAATCCAAGTTGTCGTGCTGATTTTGGATTTTAAAAAAATCTGTATTGCATGATCAGCAAAGAGACTCCAAGTTTTGCTGCGCGGAAAGAGCATTTGTCATGCGGTATAGGCATCAGGAAGCCCTCACAAAATCTGTGATGCTATGGCATGCATCACAGACATCAGGAGTCATGCAAAATGTGCATGACAAACCTGGCATTCTTCCAGACCCAGACACTTTTGCACATGATAACTACATTGACCGAGCAATCCAACACCAACCTAGATTCCCCCGCCGGCCTGGACACGGGCTGCATCCCCTGGTGGGGCTGGATCCTGATCGCCCTCTATGCATTGCAAAAGTATCGTACTAGTACAAATTGCATCACAAATTTTTTCAAGAAGAAAAATGGAATTTGTAATGCTGATTTACCTAAAAAGGGATGTTTGTCATGCATGATAGCAATTACTACGAGTGCGATACTTTTGCACAGGATGCCCTCATTGTCGTCTCTATTCTCCTTTGGTGCCTCTACCACTGCTGTGCCAAAGCTTTCGCACAGGAGAAAGGAGTTACGGCCCCTCCGGCCGAGGTAGATGTTGGGGAAGAAGATAACACGACTACTGTCACGGACATCACCGAAGATACTACGACAGAGCCGGAGGTTCTTCCTTCCGTGAGCTACCTGCCTTCCAAGCCGCCGAAAATAAGCAAAAAGGTGAAGAAAAAGAAGAAGAAGATTACGTCCGCCGTCATGCCTGCGCCGGTCGTTCTTATGAAGACAGCGAGTTTCGAATCGAAGGGACCAGCAGGACTCGAAAGTCTCAACGTGAAAGATTTTGAAGACTTCGTCGAGCATCCGCCGCCGGAGCCGCCGCAGGTGCCCAGCCTTGACGTGGAACCGGGGCAGTATCCACAATTGAAGCCGCCGAAGGCGTTGGAAAAGAAAATCAAAGTCAAGCTATGGAAGCGTCAGCATCGAAATCGGCAAAGTTGAAATAGTTTGTGATGCATAAAATGCAACGCACAAACTGCCTCTATTGCGGAGGGCGCAAGGGGTGCAGATTCGGTTGTAAGCCTGTCGAGGGGTAGAAATTGAGCTGCTAAAGTAGGGCATGACAAAAGGCGTCTTCCTTACCAGAACAGCATTACAGACTCGATTTCACTTCTACCCAAATTTGTCATGCGCCAGTTGAAAACTAGGCGCCAACTGGTATCCGTTTTATGCATCACAAATTATTTCAACTCTGACGATTTCGATCCTGACACTCCATACAAGCTGCCCCTTAAATACAAGGGGATTGGTACCACCACCGCGTTTGTTGACGACATTGAGAAAAAGAAGCAGCACATGTACCTCGGGGGCGCGAGAACCATCCCGGGGGACCACGATGGGCACTCGGACATGCGGCACGAGGTCTCCGAGACGGTTCTCGGTGCGCCCGTGGAGCACACGCGAATGACGGCGGCGGGTTTACTGTCGGTATTGCCCAAGGGGGAGGAGTTTGGATCAAGTAGATCTTCGAGGAAAAGCGTTAGTGGAGGTCCGCGGAGTTCGGTGCGGACTAGTTCCAACATTCGGAGTAGTTCCATGCGAAGTAAAAGTCCCAGGAGCAGCACAATAAAACCGCGGAGCAGAAGCAAAACTACTAAAATGAAAAATGCCCCCACCCCCAAAGTTGCAAAAATTTGTGATGCGAAGGTTCCAAATCCACATGAAAACTTTTTGTCATGCATGAAAGGAGTATGAATCTTTCTGATACAGAGTCTAGGCATGTATCGCATCGCTTGCATGACAAGCGCCGCTCTTGCTGGGGTCTTTCGCAATGCAAATTTTCTCTATTCACGATTGCAAACCTGTGATGCTGATAGATGCAAGAGGGCGAATGTTTCATTTGGAAAGGTTTGCAAGACAAAGCTCCCAAGTTCGGGGGTGGGGGCATTTTTCACTGTAATAAGAACCCCGACGAGCGGAGCGCCGGCCTCGACCCGGAAAAGCACGGCTGCGGACGAGTTCAAGTCGGGGCAGCAGAGCGGACTGCAATCAACATCGGGAGGACCACGTAGCGGCCGCGAGACCTACAACTCCACCGGAGGTGGAGGCGAACCAACTGGAGCTCCGGTTTCGGAGGAGATGCTTTTGTCTTCCCGCGAATCCTTATGAAAGTGCAGAACTCCCCCTCATTTGTATTGCATGAACAGCAACACAAGAGTGAGCAAGAATACAGGTCTTGCATGACAAATTTGGACAGGAGTGTAGTGCTATTTGGGCTTCCAGAGAAGCTTGTCATGCAAACAGTGCCAAGAGGAAGAGCCATGGCGTAAATTAGGCATTTTGCATGACAAATGAGGGAGAGGGGGACGAGTTGTGCAGTTCTATAATCCTCCCGCTCGTCCGGCCGGTCGTCCACTAAAAAGTCGATTTTTTCGTCTCGCGCCCGGAAGGCGAAAATGAAAGCCAATATTGTCTCGGCGGTCAGATCCGGAGCGAGCCCAGGCTCTTCTTCGGGCCTGTTACTCCCTCCATCTAGTGCGTCGAACAAAAAAAAACGGAGCACGAAATCTCCCGAGGGGCAAAGCAACCTCTTGCTCTTCCAGAGCAACAGCAGAGAAGCTGGCTACACATCTTCGGGTGATCAAGACAGTGGAATATCAAGTGGAGGTGATAGTGTGGGTAGCAATAATTCGAGGGATATTCTGAGTGAATAAAACGTCCTCACCCCATAGTTGTCAAGGTGGGACCCAATTACTTACATCCATGATACTGTTACAATAGACAGCTACGTCACGATCACGAACAGTCTTACACGCGTTCTTCAAAAATCGTTTTCACTTTATGTTTATTGTCTCTATTGTTGCTTCATCGTGCAACACTCTTTTTGAATATGATACCCGTCACGCAGGTTTTTCTTGTATATTCTGTGTTGTTAGGGGAGGTTAGAAGAAGACTGCTGCCAGCGGTATTGACCAAATCTGGACAAAAACTTCTGTCAACTGTAGATCGTAATTTGGATGCATTTTCATATCCTGTACACCACAGCAAGAGACTGGACCCATTTGCTGCGGAGCAAAATACCAGCACATGAAAAGCAACGGAAGTTGTAGCTCATCCAGCACTTGTGTTCCTCCTGGAATAACGTTAGTGCCGTAGTACCCGCAGCCAAGTACAACCTCATAGTGCTGTAACAATCGCTCTGGCTGAAGAAGCGCTTCGCACTTGTAAATGTAGCCTAGAACAAAAAGCGAGGAAAGTAAATCTTCAATCATTCAGCTCTAATCGTCGATGCTACACACACAAGTTTCCCTGCTGTACTTTCTGCCCCAAGGACGACGATCGTGATCAACTTCAACACGGACGGCCCGAAAAAGATCAGGAAGATCTTCAAGATCAGCGCATTTTCTTTTCCGTCATGACGTCGAAGTGTATGACCCCTAGCCTGTTCATTCGGTCTTTTTTACGGAACAAAGATCTTTTTCATTGTGTTTCGTTCGGAGGTTCACGTTATGGCTTGTCTTTGGCTTGTTCACCGTCGACAAGTAGAAGGACGGAGTGCGCCGCCTTTCTTGCAGCGCGCGGCCATATCATTGGTAAGCACCTTGCTTTCATCGTCCACGAGAATTTTTGAAGAAACGCGCGCTCTACTTGGAGGTGATTATAATTTCCTCTAGGCTCGTGAAAATCATCAAAAACGACAATAGGGCACGCCACTTGTTGCAGACGACAGGGTCGTCGACGAATTCCAAGAATAAAGATCTTGCTATCGTACTTGTTCAAAACTACATTGATACCGAATTATAATTATTCTAAAGCTTTAACTTTATCGAAGATGTCATCAAATCTAGAAAACAAAAGCGCGGCGTCTCTCTTGCCGCTGGCGACGATCGAGCCCGTGGAGGTAGCAGCTGCAACTCAGACGCCTTTGAGCAGACCCAGACGGATCGGCTTTACCCCACGGAACCAACAAAACGAGCGCATTTCAACCAGAGTTTCTTCCTCTTCATCGCCTACTGCAGGAGCAGGCGTTATCATTCCTGCTAGTGTGCAGCTGCCTGCGCGAGGTTTGCGGCGAACTGCTGAGCCCCCTCGTTCTGTCGCGCCAGGAGGAACTCCTACAAGAGCTGCACCGAGGAGAACCATGCAACGATCCTCCACAAGCAAGCGGCATTTGTGCGATATTGCCAGCGAAGATCAACATGATGTGAAGGAGCGAGTAGATCATAATGAATCAGAAAAGATAAAGAAGAAGAAGAAGTCCACCTCCCCGGCCGCCACTGTCGTGGCTTCACAGAACGACAATCAAAATCAAACGAATGGTACTTCTAAGCCGACCACGGCTTCCAAGAAACCAACGCAGAGTAAAGCTACAAACAGACGCCCCCTGCGGCCCAGATTCTCCGGACTGGGGGTTGGCGGATTGTCCTTTTTTTGCAAGGCGGTCACGAACAATGTTAATATCCACACGATGAAAACTTTTATGGCGAACACGGCGGATTTCAGACTGGTGTCCGCATCGACTACAGGAGAACAAATTCTGCACCCAGATCTCGCAATGTCGGCGCCGGACTTGCACGAGCCAACGCTGTTGGGCCCGGGCGACGTGAACTTCAATTTGGCTGCTACGGCACCCAGTGTGGTGCAGATAACTCCGGAACAGAACAGTGGTAGCGCGGCAGCTGCTGCTGGTGTTGCAACAACAATTTCAACGCAAGCTACAGACCCGGCTGCCATGTCTCATCAAACCACTGCCGCAGCCGCAGCAGCACCCCAGCAGAGTGCAGCAGATTATGTTGGTGACGGCGTCATCAATCCAGACCTCGCCCTCTCTGCGCCGGAACTCTCCCAATTACACGAGGAAAACAAACTTCTTACTGCCAGTGAGGTGCAAAACATTGGCGCGCAGTTGGCCGCTTCCGCACCAAGTGCGGTGCAGGTGCCAGCAGCGTCAATGGTGGCCCAGCTGCCGGACGCTATGTTGCCCACGGTCACTGCTGGTGCTAGTGTGCATCAACCACCGACGACTCCAGCCCAGCAACAATTCTTGTCCTCCTCCCTACCAGCGAATTTTCACGCGACAAAGCCAGGCGAGGAGGGCAGCGGTAGCTTGGGGGCAGGGGTGCAGCAACAGGCCTTATCTTCCTCTTCCCCTGCGATTTTTTTGTCTGGCGGAGCCGCGACCACCGGAGAAGGTTCTACAAAGGAGAAGAAACCCTTGCTGCAGACGGTACCAGTACAACCGGTAGTGCAAGTAGAACCGCACCTCCCGCAGCCACAGGCACACGTAGAGCAGCCCGAGCATGTCAACGTGCAGCAGCATCTATCCTCCACGGCTCCTGCTGTGATGCAAGAAACGACTGATAACGATATCAACACCATCGATCCCCCCGCGCCGCCAGCTGCTTCGCCGCTCTACGACACCGCGCCGGCAGTGTTGCAATCGAACGCAGCGGTAGATGTGCATCAAAACGAAAACCAGGCAGAGCAACCGCATCTACTACCGCCAGCACCACAGCCGAATTCAGCTTTCATCACGAACTCTCTTCCGGCTGTGAAACTCGGCGAAGCTGCCACTTCTTCGCAGCAGATCGAAGGTGCTGGTGGGCAGAATGTTTTAGAACAACTCCCAAACTTGGCGAATTCAGCACCGGCGGTGCTGAATTCAGGACCGCAGGAACAAAATTCAGTACCGCAGGAACTTCCTTCCTACAACGCGATGCTCGGAAATACCATCCCTGTTGAGCATATGCAGCATGAAAAAACACCCACCTCCATCCAATTTGATGTCATGCAAAACATTAACTTGCATAAAGCCCTCGTGTTTGTCATGCAAAAAATGGGTTGGGATGGGTTTTTTTTGCTGGATAAAGCAACACCCGCAGCCGCACATCGTCGATCTTACCGCCACTGCGCCAGCCGTAATAGTCACAACTCCGCATGATAAAAAACAGCCGGACGATGCGTTCGTGTACACCCCGACAGCAGTGGACTTGACCGCGACGGCGCCGGCTGGAGGTGGTTCTTTTGCAGGACCTGCAGCAGCAGGCGAGTCCTATCAGGTGATCACGGATGGCAGCGGCCCGGATGACGAGCATGAATTCTCCGAAGGTTCTGGTGTGCAAGTGGCACACAACCCGGATCAGAAAATCGAACCCAAACTGATCAGTGGCCAGAATGAGAAGATGACACAGACCGAGAGCACCAGTGCTGGGGAAGATTATAGCACACCAGGTGCGACAGCAGGAGCAACCTCCCGGGATGTTGCGTTGGAAACGAAACAGAGCCAGACGGAAGAAGTTCTTGGAGCAGGAGAGGCATCTACTTCTCCACCTGATGTGCGACGTCCCGCCGCCACCCCCGCAACGGCCAATCTGGCGATCGGTGGGAGTACGAGTCCAGCGTTTAGTAACGCGGCGACAGGACAAGATATCCACAAACAAACAACCATCCCCATTTAATTTGTCATGCAAAACAAGCATGAAATTCAGTATTTGTCATGCAGAAAATGGATGGGGATGGTTCGTTGTTTTTTGTGGATACAAGAAGACTCTTCCACCGACACATCCCAAGACGAGATGGGTTCCTCTGGTCCCTCTTTGGATCTGAAAAACGCACCGATTTCTTCCTTCGCGTTTTTATCTCTGTTACTCCTCTGCGGCAAGGTGTTGCGGGTTCTGATCAAGCCGCTGCGGGACCTGTACTTGCCGAGTTCGGTCGTCGGCGGGACTTTTGGGTATAAAGATTTTTATTCCAAAGTGAGTTGTCATGCATGTGGCTGTATTCTTGTTGCAATTTGTCATGCTAAACACACTACATCTACATCATCTATCAGTTACCTCATCCTGCTCCTCGCGAACAACGTCGGGCCGCATGGGTGTGTATCCACAGTAACTTTCCCGTACACGTACAAATGCGGTCCCGTACACGTACAAATGCAGTCTCTGCATGACAAAACTTGGCTTCGATTCTAGTTTAGCATGACAAGTTTTACCCTCCAAATTGGCAAGATTTGTGATGTATCTTGTACATGTTGATGTACGGAAAATTTGTATTGCATAGCGTGTCCCCGAGGACCACATTAATCGTTACTCCAACACGGACCCGACCGTTCCGGTTGGGCAACGGGGGGAGTGTCTGCCCGGAATCAGGAAGGTCTACAGCTACTTCTCTGCCTACTACACCATCGGGTGGGGATATCGCAAGAAAAAAGTGTTACAGTTACACATTGTGTTGCAAGACAGGCACCACAGACAACCTCTCTCATGCAGGAAATGCTTGGGAGCCTCGTTTCCTTCCTGTTTTCCCTTAATATGATCTGCGCATTACAAGTTTTCTCTGCCACACAGAAAAAATTTCCGATGCAGAAACTCCAACAAATCTGTAACTGTATCACTTTTTTCTCGTGATAAGGGACCGCAACTCCCGGAGGTTTATGCACTGCAAAAGTATCGTACTAGTAGAAATCGCATTACAAATTCGGCCAGCATGACAAATGAAATTTGTCATGCTGTTTTACCTTGGTTTGGAGATTTGTAATGCATGACTGCGATTACTACGAGTACGATACTTTTGCAGAGGATAAGGTTCTGATCTCGGTGATTTTTGCCGCGGTGTTTATTGGGGTCGAGGTCCCGTATCCACAGTGAATTTCCCGTACATGTACACATGTGGTCTCTGCATGACAAAACTTGACTTCGATCCTAGTCTTGCATGACAAGTTTTGCGGTTCAAATTGGTGAATAGATTTGTGATGCATGTTGTACATGCGCGGGAAATTTGTATTGCATATCCCGTATCCACAGTGAATTTCCCGTACACGACGCACAACTGGAACTGCCGTCTCTGCATGACAAAACTCTTCGCCAATCCTATTCAGCATGACAAACCGCATGCTCTAAGAACTCGGCCAAATTTGTCTTGCATTTTGTACGTGTCGTGCGGGAAATTTGTATTGCATATCCCCCCTGTGAAAGCGATCTGGGAAGGTTCCGGACCGCAGATTATGTACGGGCAGGTGGTCACGCATGGCCTGTGGATGTTCGGACTGTTAGCGGGCTGGGTGTTTGGAGCATTGTTTCTGTATTGATAGAAGATACTCATGATTCATTTTCATTCATTTTCAGCCTGATGTTGTGGTCTTTCTGAAGATGTTGCATGTTCTAGTTCTTATTTGTGCTGCATACGCAAAGTTCTTTTCACTGCTATCGTACGACACCTTTGTCTATTGTAATTGTGATTATCGTATCAAAAAGGTTCTTCGAAGCCAACGAGTGGGGCTACTTCTGGACCGGGAACCAAGCCTGGAACACGGAAGACGGAAAATTACCGCACGGAAAATCTGCGGACTGGTTACCGCATTGCTACGGGATCTCCATGTATCTCGGCTTTGAGGGTGGTCATGGAACGGTATATAGAATTTTTGACCTTTTAGTTTGATTCCAACTCCGGTGCACGACTTGCGGTTGTGACTTGCTGTAGTTCTGTTACTGTAACTGTTACTGTTTATTTGCAAACTATAAACTTCTCATGGCTCGTCCAGCACAGCCACATCTGTCTTCTTGTTCTCGTCTCTACTCCTGCTACTCCTCCTACCTCCTACCTGTCGATTACTTACATTGATATGGGTCAACACAGACACAAACTTTTATCAAATTCTAGGTTGCTGGGCTCCGTGATGACTTTCCGAAGATGCAAGAATGGAAAGACGGTTTTGACGTTTCCATCGGTATGGCCACGACCGGTCTCCTCGGCGCGACCATTTGGGGCGTCATGCTGATCAACATCGCATCTCGCCGGAACTGGCGCGCACCGGGCATATGGATTGCAAAAATTAGGAAGGTCTGTCATGCTCTGCTAAGTAGTCGATGACTCCAAATTCTGTCATGCTCGTTAATTCCCAAAAGCCCCATTTTTCTGTCATGCCGAAACGCGGTTTGTCATGCAGCATTATACGCAACACCTAGCAACAAGCCATCACTTGTGGCGTCCTCAGGATTCGCGAACTAGCATCTCAAGTTTATTGCTACTAAGTGGAATTTTGCAGGAAAAAGGAAAATTGAAAAAAAATGCCCCCTGTGCTGGATAGGACGAGGGCGACAGCGGCTGGGAGCGGGGACAACGCGGCGGCCTTTCTTGCAATCTGTTTTCATCAAAAAACATCACTACAGGCACAAAGCGAATCCTTCATCATAGTACATTCCACAGGCACAAATGAGGCCCATGAAGATGATGGCTCATAAGGTGCAAGCAGCCTGCCTCGCACAGGGGTCCGGCTTTCCGCGCCACACACGCACACACTGTGGCGCAAATCGTCACAGAGCCCGGCGCCCACCTCCGTTACTGTTCAAAAAATACCTTGCGCGAGTCACAAAACCCAAAGAGCAGACATAGTAGGCGGCTGCCACTACCTCCCCGGCCCCTTCACCGCGTCCCTTGGTATGGCCCTGGTTGAGTCGGCTGGAAGGGGGCGGCCCGGGCGCGGCTCCGCGAGCAGGGCCGAAAAAGGCCGGCAACCCTGAAGCACCTCGACTACCTTCTCCGGGAGTGTCCGGACATGGACATCGCCAGGGGCTTCGACTCGGGTGCCCTTTTTTGCCATTCCGCTCGTGATTGAGTGGAAAAAGTTTGTATACCCATGCGGTTTAAGTTCACAGGAAAACGCAGGAGGGAGGCCTCCGGGGGAGGCCAAAATCGGGCCAATCCGGGGCCCCAAAATGAGGGGCAAAATCGGGGCCGTGCCACCGGTGCTTCAATTCCACAGGAAAATGAGGGGGCGACCCCCCCGGGGCCCCCTTCGGCGGGTGGCCCCGGGCCATCATTTTTGGTGCAAAAGTTGCGCGCTTTCGCCTTTTCGGCCGGCCAAACGTTGCAAATAGGCGCGGTGGGCCTTCTCCTTGGGGGCTTTTCTTGGCATTTTTCCGGACGCCCAAAACTGGCGCCACAATTCGGAGATTTAGGTGCGGTTTCACCTCCGCCGGGGGGGGGGAAATCTGGATGGCCATTTTTTTCGCACTTTCCCCGGCGCGCGCAAAAAGTGCGGAAATAGTTCGGGGCGACTGTCCTAATGGCAACATATGGTCTGTCTGGCGCGTCAGCTGCTGGGCCACCCAATTATTTGGCAGGGCCTCGGCTCGCTTGGGCGCCGTCCTCTCCCTGCCCGCACAGCACGCCCGTCTGGCGCGCGCCGTCGGCTTGGCACAGCCGCCCCCTGTTGGAGGTAGGCTGCCCTCATCTCATGGGCCATGGTCCTCATGTCCCTCATTTGTAGCTGTAGCGATGTATTTTGATGAAGGTCTGCCACGTGCCTGTACTGGTGTTCTTTGATGAGGACTGAGGATTACAAAGGCCGCCGCGCCCTCACCACTCCAAACCGCCGCAGCCACCGCCCAATCCAGCACAGGGGGCATTTTTTTTCAATTTTCCCGTTTCCTGCAAAATTCCACTTAGTAATTGCAGACCCAGACATATTTGCACTTCATACGGCACGCGGGTTTCCAAAACCCTGGCGGAAGGAGGTGGCCAGGGGATCGAGGGGGCGGCTTCTTCTGATCCGTTGCTGCTAGTTGGAGTGTATTCGGAAGATTCTCGGAAGCCGATGGCGTACGAAACGGTTGTATCGGATTCGATTGACACACTGACGCTCCACGCGGCTTTGATCGGGTTGGCTTGCGCTTTTGGATACGGAATCCAGAAGGGCATGATCGCACTACAGGAGTTTTTGTCCTCCGATACCGTCGGCTGGATCCCGAAAGCCGAGACCACCATTGGCGAAAATTTTCCGCTGTTTCCGCTCTGTATGGTGGGCGGGATTCTGGTGGACCGGTTGATCCGAGCGATTGGATATTCCATATTACAATGAAAAATGCTCCCACCCCCGAACTTGAAAGCATTTGTATTGCAAACCTTTCCAAGTGAAACACTCGCCCTCTTGCATGTATCAGCATCACAGATTTCCGATCGTGAATAACAAAAATTTGTATTGCAAAAGATCCCAGCAAGAGCGGTGCTTGTCATGCAAGCGATGCGAAACACCACTAGAATCTGCATCATTCAGAAAGATCCATATTTTTTTCATGCATGACAAAAAGTTTTCATTCGGAAACTTCGCATCACAAATTTTTGCACCTTTGGGGATGGGGGGGCACTTTTCAGTGTAATATCCCATGCTGATTGACCACAACTGCATGCAGCGGGTAATATGAGATTGAGATCATCTTCTTGATGCGGTGGCTAAGATGAAATATGTTTTTTGCATCCCAGTTCTGGTTCTCCACTGATAAAAAATATTCTGGACCAAATTTTTCGTAGCCTTCACGCACAACTGCAAATTTGTATCCGGAAAAATAGCGGTCTCGGTAACGTTTCTGCTGCTGTTACTGTTTGCACAACTTGTTGTACGACGTGTCAACATCTGTTTCAATTGACTTCCAGGTGTCCGGTATCGCCCTGGACTACTTGATTACGGCCGTGCTGTGCACCATGGATCTGCAAGCCGCCACCGGCTGGCCCTACGCGACCCTCGCCTTCGTGATCCTCAACATTGTGGGTTTCGCGTGGCACTTCTTCTGCATTCTCTTCCTAGCGTATGACGGTGCACAACTCCCCCTCGTTCTCATTTCTCATGCAGAATACCAAATCCACGCTTTCCCTCCTGTCACTATTATGCATGACAAGTTCTGGTGGCCCAAATAGCACTACACTCCAGTGCAAATCTGTCATGCAAAACCGGCACTCTTGCTGATGCTTGTATTGCCGTTCATGCTATACAAATGAGGGGGAGGGGGAGTTGTGCGCTCTCATATAGCGCCAAAAATGCTGCCCGACGCGTGGTTCGAGCGGGCCATTTTCGAGGTCGGGCACTCTATGGGCACGACGTATGAAATGAAATAACATCGTTCTAGTATAAATCGCATGACAAATTCCCTCAGCATGAAAAATCGGATTTGTAATGCGGATTTAGGTTAGGATGGAGATTTGTAATGCATGACTGCGATTATAACTGCGAGCACGATACTTTTGCACAGGATACGACGGCAAACGGGCTGATTCTGTTGAAGATGGTAGACCCGCATTCCGAAACGGCTGCGGGCTCTGCCGTCGCGTTTAAACTCTTCGTCCACGAACCCATGATGGGTGTGTGGGTTATGGAGTTCTCAAACGTTACACTCTCAACTGTTGCATAAATTTGCAAAAATGCAAGACCAGCAACAGTGAAAGGGGCAAACTTGCAGCTGTCGCATCACAGATCTGGCACAGGAGATTTTTTAGATTCTATTTAGCCCTACTTCGGAAATTTGTCATGCGAAGCCGCTTGGTTATCTGGCGGGTTAAGGTAGTTCTGCATGACAAATGCATGAAACAGCTGAGAGTGTAACGCTTGAGAATCCCATAGCAGTGGCGTTGGTTTCGACGTGCTTCAAGTTTCCGATGAGCACCAAGGACAGCTCCTTCTGGATCCTCATGTGGGCCGGCTTCAGCGGGATCGTCATGGTAAGTACTATTTTTGTTTGGTTCTCCTGGCGTTCATTTTTTGTCATGTGGGGCGATCATGTAGCCAATAGCCAGCGTCGACTTCCACTTCTGTCCTCGCAATTGTAGTGATCGCCCCGCTCAACCATTCTAGTAGATAAGATTTGCCGCCAGGTGCAGATGGGCACCCACCATGGGGCCGCGATAGACAAAAATGATTACACTTCTACATGATCTTGCTCTACCGTTCCATTCTGCATAAAATTACACACGATGGTGCTGCTGCAGCTGCTTCTGATCAAGAACGTTATGCAGCTTTATATTGCAATAAATGCAATGAAAATAACATCAAATAATCCAAACTACAACAAAACCCAGGCTTTCTGGTTCGCGCTGTACAAATATGACAGTGCACAACTCCCCCTCCCCCTCGTTTGTCATGCAAAATACCCAGTCCACCCTTTGCTTTGCCTTTTGGCACTGTTTGCATGACAAGTTCTGGCAGCCCAAATAGCACTACACTCCTGTTCAAATTTGTCAACATGCAAAAACTGTGTCATTGCTGACGCTTGTATTGCTGTTCATGGAATACAAATGAGGGGGACGACGGGGAGTTGTGCACTTTCATACCAAATTCTACTTCAAGCCCAAGTACAAGAACCAAATCGTGCGTGACCGCGAGACCTTTCTCTCCTTTCACGAGCACCAGAAGGAAGAGAATTCGCGTGAACTGTCCCGGTCCCGCACCCGGTCCACCGAGCTGCTTGCCTACCCAGGCGGACTTGATCCGGTGAACGCGATCGATTTCGACGCCATGCAGAAGTGCAGCCCCAACCAGGGAGGCCAGCCCGTCTATGGCGTGCTCAGCTGTTACTACATTCTCAACTGTTTATATGAATTTGTGATGCAAGAATTGCAAAAGTGAAAGGGGGGAGGCTGCACCTCTAGCATTACAAGTTCTGCACAGATTTAGGTGCTGCTTAGCCCTTCGCAAATTTGTCATGCGAACCAGCTTTCTCGTGTGGATCTTGATGGTAGTTCTGGATGACAAATTCATGTAACAGTTGTTGAGAGTGTAACAGTTGAGAACGCCATACCGTCCGACGCACGCGAGCAGGCTCCATGACGGTGAACAACATGAGACAGTCGGGGCGACACACGCAGCAGCTATCATTTGTAAAAACGTTCCCACCCTAGAGTTGTAATGCAAATGCGCAACGAGAGGAACATTTGTAATGCGCATCTCCATAAGAGGCATTTCCAATCGTGTTTTGGTATTTGTAATGCTGTAAATAGGATGAGCAAATGGCTTCCTCATGCGGCTTTCCTTGCTAATCAGCACTACGCTGCAGATGGAAACTTGTCATGTAGGACTTCCAAAGCTTGGAGATTTGTGTTGCAGATTTCCCATCTTGACTATGGGGCGGGGACTTTTTTACACAGCATAGCAACATCATGATCATCTTCACCATCCGCACGGAGACTTCGCACCCCCGACCTATGTGTACCAGAACGGCATGAACTTTCTGGAAGAATCTCACACCGGTGGTGGCTCCGTGGTCGCCCCGGGCGGGGGCCCGCCGAGCACGGATCTGGGGCATCTAATCGCGATGAGCAGTCAGACTTTGCGGTCCAAGGCGAACTCCTTGACGTGGGGCAGTACGATCGGGGGCGTGCATATGGAAGTGTCAGGATTGAAATCGACAAGAAAGTTGAGATAACTTGTACTGCATAAAATGGATGAAAGTTGTAACCCAGTTTCCAATTGGCGCATGACAAATTTGGGTAGAGCCGAAATCTGGTTTGTCATGCTGTTTGGGTAACAAGGAAGGCGCCTTTTGTCATGCTACTTTAGCAGCTCAGTGCCTACCCCCCAACAGGCTTACAATCTGCCTCACTTGCCTACTCTGCAAGACAGGCACTCTGTGGGCTGCATTTTATGCATGGCAAACTATTTGAGTTTCAACTTTGACGATCTGAATCCTGACACTCCCATAGTGCAGGAGACCGGAAGGCCGACGGTGGACGACGCCTTGTTTGTCAACGCGGTCTGCACAATATCCTGTGCAAAAGTATCGTACTCGTATAAATGCAGGTCCTCTTGCATTTAATGCAATTTGTAATACAAATTTCTTTGTGAAGGCAAATCAGCATATACAAATTTTATTTTTCATGCTGAGGAAATTTGTCATGCGATTTCTACTAGTACGATACTTTTGCAGTTCATACACAACTACCGGGAACAGCATCAACCTCGGAGGAGATCATGGTGCAGCTCAATTGATGAGCACGACCGGCGAAGGACATCACGGAGGTGCTGCTGGTGGAATCAGTGTTGTGGTGCAAGGACATCACCAGCCGGCTGGGCTTCTGGAAGGAGGGGGAGGAGGGCCCCCACCGCTACAGGGAACTACGAATTCTTCTTCGTCGTCGTCTTCTTCGACGGGCGTGGTCGTCGTGGCGAATAACATGAAACAGCAAGACAACCTGTCGGATATTGTGGAGGAGAAGGATTCGACTACGAATTCTCTGGAAATGACCAACATGCAGCGGACGACCACGCAGGGCGGGGAAAATATCCACAAGAAAAGACCACTGTGGCAGCTGTCCTGATTGCCACGAATTGTCCGAGTTATTTGTCATGCGAAACAACAGGCTTCAAAGCCAGTCTTTGTCATGCAAAAAATGGATGGGAAGATGGATCGCGACCTTTTCTTGTCTGGATAGACCATGATGACGACGATCACGCGCCGAAGATCTTCGGACCGAAGGATCCGGATATGCATTGCAAATATGTCTGGGTTTGGAAGACTCGGAACTTGTCATGCGTGTTGCGGTTCACAAAAAAATTTGTCTTGCGTGACTTGCAAAAGATGCCTTTTTCTGGCCGTCCTGAGAGCGCATTTCTCATGCAGAACAGGCATTACCAAGGGGCTGCAGAACTTGTGATGCTAAGCCCTGCGCTACAGAGTTTGCGGACCTTGGAAAGATTGCATCACAAATCTCGCAATCTTCCACACCCAGACATATTTGCATTCGATACCGGAGAGAAACTGAAAAGGCTCTGGGATTGAGATGTAGATTTGCTGAATGGAACTGGATTCGGGACGGAGAGAAAATGAAAATCTTCACTATCATTTAGAACTAATTTCTTCCTGCAGCTTTTACTTAATTTTGCTTATATGCTTTGTTCCCATCAACACGTTTACGCTATGGCTGTCTTCTTGGGTTGTAATTTTATTCTGTTCATCGCGACTATCAGTATCACTTGAACTTGTTACACTTTGAGAATATTTGGATATCTATTCATTGCAACAACACAATCATGCCTCGATGCACTCAAGCTTCTTATTTCTGGTTTTGATTTCTTATGTCATGCATGATTCGCTGCATTCTTGTCTTCAATTTTTGCACATGAGTTTTCAACGAATTATTTAATATAGACGGAATTGAAAAAAAAGTTTTGTATACAAAGACAGAATTTATTTTTACTCGGCGCCAGTGCTGTGTGGGTCGTATCAATATCAAAAGATTTCGAATTGATTAGTGCGCTGAGGTCGATGTTGTCCCTACAATCAACTTATACTGCAGTACTATTAAGCGACATTTTTTGGATATTACAACTACACCTAACGAGACGGATTTTCGCTTAGACTCGTGTCCGTTCTGATAGTGTTTACACGAAGAACGACGAATATAGCCCGCGACATTCGGACGATTTTACCACCTGAAACCTGCGACGGACCCACGAGCTGGACCTGCATCAAGGTACTTCTACGTAAGTAGATGTTGCGCGCATTGGGAGACGATGAAACTGGCAAGCGGAGTCTTTGCGCAAACTGCCCATTGTGCGGCTTTGAGCGATTCCTTCCACACAGATTCAGATTGTCAGCACTGCTATAAGCTAGTCCAGCTGCGCAGGGCGCGTCATTCGAGCCACCAGCCCGGGGGCGGCGGTGGTTGCTTCTAATAAATATCCATGAGGTTTCTTCCTGTGTTAGTGGACTTGAGAACACTCGCACACACTTACACACGTTTGCTCCACTGAGCTCGTTATCAACAGCAATTCGATGAATTCTCTCAATTGCAAGCAAGCAAGCAAGTGACGCAAGTCTCTTGCTGCGTTACATCCTGTAGGATCAATTCATCCAAATTCATCAGATTCATATGGACCAATCGGGTCAGAGTCAAGTGGCAAAACAGCATGGGGGTCCATCCCTCAATGCTGTCGGTTTGGTGCTCGACCCTGGCGGGAGTCAAGTCCCCCAGGGTGACCATTCTGAACGTCTGGACCGAGCTGAGTCCATTCATTTCATTACGATCCTGATGGCTTTGCCTTCGTAGTATTTGGGGGATTCGCGGAACATGGTGAAGAGATTCCTTTAGGATCTAGATAGATTCTGACCATTTCCCTAAGAACAAGGCAACAAGGAGCCTAGACGTGACCGGGGGGGTCACGTCCGTCCGGCCGGCCGGACGGACGGCACGTGACCGGGGGTCGGTCGTGGCGCTAGGAGGTGGTGGCCACTGCGGACCGCGCGCCCGGGCAACTAAAAAAAAAAAAAAAAAGTCATGAGCTCGGCACTTCACTGAAGCGCTGCCTCTCTTCGTCACGCTCCGCCCCCGGTCACGAGGCCGGGGGCTGTCAGCTAGCTCGGGCGCCCAACTAAAAAAAAAAGGTCATGAGTTCGGTCTTTCACGGAAAAAGGCACGACTCTTGCGCCTGGTCCGCCGTCGGTGACGCGGCCGGGGGCTTCTAGCTACCGAGGGCCACAGTTGCTGCGGCATTCAGCGCCGAACTCGCCCCGAGGCCGGATCACCCCCGGTCACGTGCCGTCCGTCCGGCCGGACGGACGGACGTGACCCCCCCGGTCACGTCTACGTTCCTTGTTACCCTGTTCTAAGGATCTAGCTAGTTCAGGCTATTCAGAAGTGTCATCTCATTGGGAACAGGCGTCATCTGGGGCGATCGTGTTACGTGTGTGCGGGATCGATTTCCATGACCAACGCCCCTCCTCAATCGCTGCGGCGGTGTTAATCAGGAACAATCCTACCGCACTCCCCTCCTGCGCGCGCTGTGGTAAACTGGCTATCCCCCATGTCTTCTAGAAACCAAAATAAATCGAATAAGTAGAGCCTGCTTTAGCCTTGCCCTTATGATTCTTTCCCCTCTATAAACGTGTCTAAATCATCCTCATCGTCAGAGGAGTCACAAGTAAAAGACTTAGGGTCGGGGTTATCAATATGGTGCAAGAGTCCGCGTCTCTGCGGCGCACTACACTCGAGCTTCGTAAGACCGTCTGCCTTCATCAGATAAGTCGGGCAGAACATGATCTGGCTCGCTGTGTCTCTCACGCGGAGATATCGCAGTGCGTAGTGCCTCGATTTCGGCTTGTTGTCTGTGCTCTTAGCTGTAGTTATCGCGGACTGGTTGTCGATCCACAATATGGCATCATCCAGGGAGGGAGATAAGCCGTTCTGCTTTTCCACCATGACAGTGGGTAGAGGTTTGAAGAATTCTGTAAAGTCATTTTGCTCGCTCAGCGCAATAGTGTCGGAAGCAGCTAGATACTCCGCCTCCGCCGTGGAGTACGCCCTCACGGTCTGCCGGTTGCTACGCCAACAGATCGGGAAGCCGTGGAAGTACATAATGCTACCACTAGTGCTGCGCATGGTCTTGCAACAGTTCGCAAAACTAGTATCCGAAAACAGATTCACATCAGGCAAGTCTCTCCCGTCGGGCAGTAGCTTGCTGTAGATTCTGTTGAATTCCTCCTCAATTTCCGGACTATACGACAGACCCTGCTCTTTCGTTGTCAATAGATACTTCGAAATCTTCTTACAGGCGTTTACGACAGGCCGGGTCGCCGGCTTGCCCACGTATCTGGCGACAGTGGCAACCGGGACAACAATGTCTACCCTGCAGGTGGTTGCAGCCCACTGCAGAGAGCCAACGACCTCTCGAAGGGGAAGACCTTCGATAACTTTAGCCCCTTCAACTTCTTTAGCGAGTTCAGACTCATCGAAGTTTGGCGAGTGGACCGGCTTGCCCGCTTCTGAGACGTGGACTTTCTTACAAATCTTGGATATGTACTCTGGCACCACGATCCTAGCGGTTCGTAGATTCCAGTTGTAGCACACTATTGACCCTAGGAAGTCAAACTTCTTGGACACGGAGTCAAACTCCGGAACAAGCTCGATCAGCCGGCCAGGCGCTGGCAAAATTTTCCCGGGAATCCCCCGGGTTTTTTCCGTAAGTTTTTTTTTCGGCCTGTGCATCTCCGCCGCGCTTTTCGGCGCCGCCGGCGGTCTCCTAGCGACCGCGGGGTCCTGCTATTCCGAGGGGTCCAGGCAATGAATCGGCTTGGCGGCCCGCGGTTGTGTTTTGCAGAGTTCTGCGCGCCCGTCAGTCGCGGGGACCTCTGCTGCGGCCGCCAGGTTGGCGCCCGTATTCCCATTCCCCCCCTTCCCCGTAAATTCCCCGTATTTGGCCCCGGAAGCACCCATTTTTGGACCCCGTAAATCGGGCCGTAAATTCCACGTAAATTCTCCGTAAATTCCCCGTAAATCTCTGTCAAATGATTTCAAAGGGAAATCACTGTACAGAAATTTACAGGGAATTTACGGGGTCGATTTACAGGGAATTTACGGAGGGCGATTTGTTGTTTTTGTCGGTGAAAACCGAGGGTGGTTTGGGGATTTACAGGGAATTTACGGGGGGGCTTTACGGGGAATTTGCATGGAATTTACACGGAATTTACGGGGAATCTGGGTGGGAAAGCGCGGCGTCTCCGTGGCTTGTTTTCGGGGGAGCCGCGACCGGGCGTTCTGGCCGTGGGGGCAGTGGCGTCGTGGCGCCATTTCTTTGTCGGACTCCGGCCGCCTCTTCCGGCGCCGCAGACCGGCCAGTCCAAAAAAAAATTTACGGAAAAAACCCGGCGGGCATACGGAAAAAGTTTGCCAGGCCCCGGCCGGCTGAGCTCGACGTCGATCATGCGCCCCTTGACGTGGTGCAAGATCTCCGCAAGTTCTCCAGCCAACTCGGACCCAGTCGGAGGACCTGTGATAAGATTATCGTCGACATACACTGCCAACTTCAGAAACTTCCCAGGGAGTTCCAAGCTCGGTTTGTTCCACAGACCTGGCGCAGAGGGACAGGGTTCCCAACCTAGCTTGGTCAGTGCTTCCTCATACTTCTTATACCAGAGCCTGGGGGCGTCTTTCAAGCCGTAAAGCGCTTTCTTGAGCTTGACGATCTCCGCGCCGTGCTTCTTCGCCCAGATGGGTGGCAAGCGGCAGAAGACGTCGCGATCAAGTAAGGCATTGAGAAACGCACTATCAAGGTCGAACGGGGTCACATCATCACCGTCTGCGGCTGCAGCGGCTAGAGGTAACCTGTTAGCTGCATGGGACACAACAGGAGCGAAAGTGTCCAGCTCGCCCGAACGATCAAGATTGCCGAGTACTACTGCTCGCGCTTTCTTCGTACCGTCACGCTTCTCGGTAAGAAGGATAGCAATAGGCAAAGCCTGCTTTGCGGTCGCTAGCTCCTCGCCAGTAGCTGGCTCCCACATTTTATAGGCTTCAGGTCTACGATCTTCCTTGTTGGTTGCTGCGTTCCATTCGACTGAGTCTTTGCAACGAGCGGGATCCAACTTGGCCGATGTAGTCAAGTAACACTGGACGCCAAGGAATTCCTCACCTTCCTCTCGATCGTCCTGTGCTGCTATTGCTGCGGCAAACGCACTCGCGTCTTTCTTTAGTGCGTCGAGCTCTTTTCTAGTACGTCTCACGCGCTTTGTCTTGTCCTTTCTCCCTTTGGGACGACCACGCCCTCGCGGCTTGGAGTTACGGTTGCCAGCCACAATCCTTGCCGGAGACGGGCTCGCCTTTCTTGGACTAGATTGATTGATAAGCTGCTGTGAGTGGGGTGATCGTCCAGATTCCCCTCCTCAGGTTTAACACCTTCAGGCTCGGGATGTATCTGGCCCGGATCATCTTCCCAATCCAAACTCTCAAGCACTAACGTCCCAGGACCGTCAGGCTGCCTACCAGTGTGCTCCGAGACATCCACCCCCAGCCGACGCACAGCCCCGATGTCAGGACCGACGCACGGGAGAGATGGCGCGCACGACGCTCCACTAGGTAGGGCCTCGATTGTGTCACACTCGACATAGATACCTTTGGAGTTAGGAGCTAGGTCTTCAATATTCTTCACGAGGTACTCCTCGCGGAACTTGACGTCGATGGTAGAATACTCCATCCAACGACGTCCCGCGGCGGACCGGCCGTCCGTGACGTACGTCCCAACCCGCCAGCCCGAAGACTTAGGACAAAGGCCGAGAAATACACCACGACGAAATGGCGCGGCCAGCTTTGGAGCTACCACATTTACTCCCCCCTCAGGAGCTTCATGAGCTTCGCCTTTCTTGACTTGTTCACGAAAATACACGAGACAACCAAAACGCCTCAGCATCCTTGTGCCAACTTTCGAGCTGTTTCTTCCAGTTCTCTCATCTAGAATCTCTGCAGGAGTCTTTCCGTCGTACTCAGGCATTTTGCTATACTTATGCGGAAGGGAGGCGGTCCCAGCATGCTGCAGCGTACTCGACCGAGTAGCACCACAGACGCTTGTCCACGTTCACCAACATCGCACGCACAGCGCCGAATATGGTCCGCATAAAGCGTTCGCAGGTTCCGTTCTGCTCTGGGTTGTAGGGAGCCGTAGGAGCATCACCGACCCGCAGCGATTGCATGACCTTGGTCATGGAGTCACTGCCCAGAGCTGGCTCATTGTCCCGCCGGACGAACCACGCCGCTTTGTCCTCGAGGGTCAATCAAAGCGTAGCTCTGGCGAATGCCTTTTATTACTTCTTCCAAAACCTCAACGCAGTCACTTTTCAGCTTAAGAGGGACACAGAAACGCTTCTTGATGGCATCACAGATGACCACAAGCACGCAGG